TTCTTATTTATCCTTTATCTTAATTTAAGTTTAATTATCGCTTTAATCCACTTTCTTACATTTAATTTCTTGTCATTTAGTTTAATCACAGTTTTAATTTAATTACATCATTATCACTAAAATCCCCAAACCCTAAAAATAAACACACAAAGCTCAACCATCCTTGACGCTGAGGAAGTGAAAGAACCTAGGCCAAGAAGAGGTTCTTTGCTTGTCCGATCAATCAGTTGATTACAAGTCAGAAGCACGAACACAACAATTTGACCCTTTCCATTTAAGCCAATCAATATTTGGTGGTGCACGTCTATGCATCCAAAACAAGAAGGATCAAAAGTTTCTTCCATCAGCCACCAAAGTTTCCTTCAATATGATTATGATAACATGGTTCCTACAACGTGTGTATTATATGTGAAGGTGCACCATGAAATGTAAAGTGGTGCACCGATATACACATACTAATGGAAATGCACGTCAATTCATAAATAAAAAATATATTTATTATATTATTATCAGAAAATATATTTCGACATGAGAAACATTCAAATAATTATAACTGAAAGGTTATATGTAGTTGAATTTGAATGAGACATTATAACTTGTTCACAAGGGTTTGTGTTGATAATTGAGTTTATAATAATTATAACTAACCCTTATCAAGTTAAATATAACTTATTCATACAAGTTACAACACACAATTAACCTTACTTCCAAATTTGGTACCTCACATTAACGCAAGTTAGGAGTCCTTGGGACCAAGGGCGTAACCACTCTCATCCTAGGGTGGGCTCTAGCTTAATGCAAGTTTTTGGACATATATAAATTTGCTGCTAATTTATATGAAGTTCATCCCACTCAATGAAAATTGGCTAAACCTACCCTAACAAAAATAGGCACACTCCACTAGACAACTGCCAAAACAAAGCTCACCAGTCTCCTCTACATAATAGATGGAAATTAACAAAAATTATATTCCATCATGATGAAAATTCCTAATTCTTTCCTTACTTGAGACTTTATTTCTAATCAGCCGAGAATCTACAAATATAAGGCTCAACAACCGTGATGATAAAACATTTGATTCTCTCATCTTTTCTTTTTTATCATGTTTTTTTTATTAACTCGTCTTTTCTTAGTTTTGTCCTTTTAAAAAAAAAATTATAAGCATAATGAGGTTTTTTTATTGGTCAAACAATCCAATGAGGTTGGAATTAGAATCTCTCTCTTTCTTTTTGTTTATTTGATAAGGATTTTTCTTTCTTTTGAGATCTCGATAGCATATACTTCTCTTCAAGGCATATTCCAGTTCCACTCATACATTGACTGCCTAACCATACGAAAAAAAGAAAAGAAAAGAAAAGAAAAAAAAAGACTGTATAGGCGTTGACTGGTCTGTGAGGACAATTAAATTCAAAAGATAACTTTTCTTTTTCTTTTTTGCTAATGAAAATAAATCAATTGCAAAACACAACCCTCAAAACAATCAACTCCTCACTATTGAGTTTGATCCTAATTACCACTTGGTCTAATTTGTTTTTAATATCCCACAAATCTGACTTTTTTCTTGACTAATATGATCACAGTTGAACAATCTTTTTTCTTATTTTCCAGTTTGCAAAAATTAACATATCCTTGTTAACTGCATCAAGTACTAAACAATTTTTAGAGTTGAATAACGAAATTATGTACAATTTAATTTTGCCAAATTTTGATACACTCATGAAGAAGTGAACTTCCTAAAAAAATATTTCATTATTTTCTTTCTCTCCCAGCCTCACTTAAATGCTCAATTACTTACTCTTAATTTAATTTCATATGTTAAGTTCTCTTTCATAAATAATTCTACGGTTAAATTTTGACGCGGTGGGTTTGATGTTACTTCAGGTGGTGGTGATAGTGTTCATTTAGATTAATTGGTTGTTTTAGAAATGTCTTTTTGTTAACGCTTGAAATTATGCTTAACTTTAATAATATCGATTTTATAGTTGTTTGTGCACCTTTTGTCCCTTCATTTTTATAATTTTTTGGCTTGTTGGCTTTGTTGCCCTTTCAGGCTTAGTGAATTTATTGTCTTGTAGATATATTGGCCCATTGTTAGAATTTATCTTATGAAAAATCTACTTAAATTAAAAAAAAATTTGAATTGTCCTACTTAACTTTGGTCCAATATGTCCTTGAATATCCATATTACATTCATTTTATGCTATCTGTAGCATTTGCTATTAAATCTACTTTTCCTAAATTTACTTCTTTGCATATTAGTTTTGGAAGGCCTCTTAGTAATTTTACTTTAACTGTTTTCCTTTTATTTTTTTTTTTTTTTACTTTTACACTCTGTGTGTTGTTTTTTTTTTTTTTTTTTTTTTTTTTTTCTTCTTTTGTTAGAAAATAAAGATGTATCCAAATATTTGCTATGTATGCCAATAATAATTAAACCTACTTTATTTGATCTTATCATTAAAGGTAGAATTTCTAATGTTTCTTTATTATATATTGATTATCTATTGTTACATCTTGATAATTCATCCACAACAAAGGTATACCACTACAATGGGCTAATTACAACTTAATGTTGAACTCACCACAAATCCATATCATCTTTGTATTATATTAGGAGTAATGCTACTCTTACCGTATTTGTATACCACATTCTCATACCACCTTATGTGGCACATGAAGTGGATAGCCACATCAATTAAAAAGTATCAATAAATTATAAAAGAAAAGAAAATATTAAATTAATTTTAATTGATGTGATTGTTCACCTCATCTGCCATATAAGATGGTATGCGAATGTGATATACAAATATGATAAGAGTAACATTATTCTTATTTTTTTAGTCACTCTAATAATCCCTCTTAATATTTTCATTTCCATTACATTGATTTTTGTTCTTACTTTAGTGCTCAGCATTCTGCCCATTAAAATATTATTCTTTCCTATTTTATCTTTGTAATATTCTTTCCATTGTATTTATCACAACCTAAGTATTTTCTTTCACTTTTATTAATTCTTAAATCCTTTGATTCCAATTTGTTTCTCCATATTTTAGATTTTGTGGCAAGTGATTCTTATTCCACTAATATTCCATTAATATCCTTAATATGTTTTTGATGGCCCGTCATCCTTATAATTAACCAAGTTTTACTTTTCCTACCGTTATATCTCACCTATACATATATATATTTGATAAAAATGCGATACAATTTTATTAGATCAATAGGGAAAAAGCGTACAACCCATACTGTAAAGAGAGCCATCCAAATAACAATATGGTAGACATGGGTAAAACTTCCCATATGACTTGAGTGAGCCAAAAAGCTGAAACAACATGGACAGAATCATCACTCTCAAAAATAACTTTTCTATAACTGCTTCCAACCGCCATGATTTCCTTGAATCTAGTCCAATGACATCAATGAGAAAAACTAGCTGCTAACGGACATGACTCTCATAAAGAGACTAAGAACACCATCAAACTCAACTAAGTTTGTGGAATCATGAGAAAAAGAACTCATAAAACTCATAGAGTTTCTAGACTTTATTGAATAAATTAAACCAAAAGAAGAAAAAAAAATAACAATGTTGGCAAAAGGAAAACCAACCGCCACTAATATTCCTTTATAACATGACACACAAAGTGCCACCTAGTTACTCCAGGGCCTCAACACACCAATGAGCAATTGATCTACCATAACCAAGCCGCAACACCTTAAAGAGTAGCCTGGAAAGATGACCAAAGCCAGCCCAAATATGAGACAATAGATCTGTTAAAGGAAGAGTAGATCAATATAGGTCCACCAAAAATCGAAGAACACCAAAAATCTGATGGGATCAGGGGGTTCCCCCGGATCTGAGCACGTGCTCTCTCTCTCTCTCTCTCTCTCTTAGCAGCCAGGGTTATCTAGGGTATTAGTTTCATTTCCACCTATCTGATATTTAAAGTAGATGAATTTCCCACTTCCAACGAAACAAAAAGAGAAAAAGAATTTCCCACAAAAAATAAACTTGGAATTTTGACAAAAGTTAGAATTTCTAAATTGACATGAACTAATTCTCGTGTTTGGATAAAAAAAAATATAGAAATTTAGAAATTTTGCGGGGGAAAAAAACATGGAATTTGGAGGTTATAAATCCCAATTTTAAATTCTATCTAAAAGTCGTCATTTTTAAAATTTCAAGAAAGATTGAGTTTAAAAAAAAGATAATTGTACAAATAAAGGTTAAATTCTATACTTTAAATCTATTATTCAAACAAAAAACTTTATAAATCCTAAAATATCAATATCCGTCATTTATAAATTCTTTTGTACTTTAAATTTCTTCATCCAAACACGTTGTATTTAACCCCATAATTATGTAAATAAAAATAACTAAATTAATGGAGACACAATGTGATGTAAATTACTAAATTTCAGGTGTCCTTGTCGGATTCGTAAAAGTAAACTGGTTCACTGACTATAAATAAATAAAAAAAGGGCCAACAACACAGAAATGAGTCCTGCTTGCTTTGGATCACACACTGACTCTCATACCCATCCGTGATCGAACCCTCAACCAAGCCCTTTGCTTTTCTTCTTCTTCTTCCTTCTACTTTCTTTCTTTCTCGTGCTCAGATCGTAATTCACAAGCAACCCGTTTTCCTGCAACCTACCCGCGCTTTCTTCATCTGAGTCTCACGGGATTTACTTTGGTTCCTCCTCTTTTTTCTTCTTTTATATTTTTTTCCCCAATATATAATTTATTATTATTATTAATAGAGTTTGAATTCTACTTCAATTGGTTTTATAGTCCTTCTGAAACTCACTTTGTTCTACACCTTTCTCCTTCCGGATTTACTTTTCTTTTTTTCATTATTAATAGCATGCATATCTGGGTTGGTTAAAAAAGTCAGAGGCAGACCAGAGCAACCCAGAAACCGAGAGAGAGAGAGAGAGAGAGAGAGAGAGAGAGAGACAGAGACAGAGACAGAGACAGAGAGACAGAGACAGAGAAGGCGCCCATGGCTTCAAGGAACTTGGAGAAGATGGCTTCAATTGACGCACAGCTGAGGCTGCTGGCACCAGGGAAGGTGTCTGAGGATGACAAACTGATTGAGTATGATGCTTTGTTATTGGATCGCTTCCTTGACATTCTTCAGGATTTACATGGAGAGAGTCTCAGAGAAACGGTATTGGGTTTGTTTTTTTTGTTTAAATTTATCAATTTATTAGTTAGTAATCTTTGACTACTTTTAGCTTAGTGTGCTAAAGTTTGATAGTTAAGCGAATTTGATGGATACCCATGTTAGTTTTGATGAAGTTTCTTCGTTTTTCTTGGTTATTATGTATGTTTTTGTTTCTCACCTTGATATTATCGCTTTGTTTTTATAATGCTTGTTTGGGAATATCTTGACTTTTTTCTTTTTTATTCTTAAAAGAAAATTGTGGAAGAAACTATCTTGTGTACCAACTTGCTCTTTCGTTTAAATTTTCAATTCTCATTCGTTTTAGTCCTGTTTGCATTTTGGAAGACTCAAAAGTTCACTCCTTTAGCGCTGGTAGTGTTGATGGCGTTTTGGTTTAATAATGATTTAGATTTTAACATATGAAATTTCATTCAAAAGGTTCTGCATTCTAGATAACTGGGGCACTTCTTACATGAGATTATGGGATGATAAACGAGTAATTTATTGACTGTTGTGATTTAATTTGGACTAGGTGCAAGATTGTTATGAACTTTCCGCAGAATATGAAAGAAAGCAGGACCCTAAAAAGTTGGAGGAACTTGGGAAGGTTCTAACGAGTTTGGATCCTGGGGACTCGATTGTCATTGCTAAGTCCTTTTCTCACATGCTTAACTTAGCCAATTTGGCCGAGGAAGTTCAGATTGCTTATCGAAGGAGGATCAAGTTGAAGAAGGGAGACTTCGCTGATGAGGCTTCAGCTACTACAGAGTCAGACATTGAAGAGACTCTCAAGAGGCTTGTGGGAGACCTGAAGAAGTCCCCACAAGAAGTTTTTGATGCGTTGAAGAACCAGACTGTAGATTTGGTCCTAACAGCACATCCTACTCAGTCTGTTCGAAGATCCTTGCTTCAAAAGCACGCAAGGTCCACTCTCCACTTACCTTTTTCATTTCTCTTATGTAAGAAGACAAATTGCAGAAGCCCACTGGTTAAGCAACTTGCCCAGGATATGTTTATTATCCAGATCCACTTTGGACTGCTAAAAGAAAACTGTGTGGGATTAGACATGTTATATTGATGGTATGTTATTTTGGTACTGACATTGGGTAATTTTGACCATTTCAGGGTAAGAAATTGTTTGACACAGTTGTATGCTAAGGACATTACACCTGATGATAAACAGGAACTCGATGAGGCTCTACAAAGAGAGGTATGTGGAAACCAATGATGGGATGTTGGTTACTGATGCTATGTACACTCATTGTAGATTTTTGTTATGTTCTTGGCCAAATTAGAATTTAAAAACTCATTTTCTCTGGACTATGCTTATGTTTTCCTTAAGGTTGTTGGAATTGCCAAAGCAGTTGCACCCAGATGCCAATTTACATATCTCTGTCTCTGTCTCTGTCTCTGTCTATCTGTCTCTGTCTTTGTATCTCTCTCTCTCTATCTCTCTCTCTCACGACAGAAAATTGCTTCCCCAACATGTGCCTCCACAAATTTGATCTCTGATAATTTCTTCTAGTGTAGAATAATTGCTCTATAATAATAAGCTTTTATTTTATAACCAAAAGAAGCTTTTGTTTCAAATTGATATAATTTAACTTCGCATTTCATGTAGATTCAAGCTGCATTTCGTACAGATGAAATCCGAAGGACTCCTCCAACCCCTCAAGATGAGATGAGAGCGGGAATGAGCTACTTTCATGAGACAATTTGGAAAGGTGTACCGAAATTCTTACGTCGTGTTGACACTGCTTTGAAGAACATAGGGATAAATGAACGTGTTCCATACAATGCCCCTCTCATTCAATTTTCTTCTTGGATGGGTGGGGACCGTGATGGTATGTTCATCTCATGCTAGTACTGGATGAGCTTATTCTGTCCTTACACAGTGCCTTTTTTTATAAAAAAAAATTCTTTTTTATTTTATAATAATCTCTATGGCATATCTCTCCACACTCACTCTAAAATCATGCCTTAGAATGATTTTGTTGCTTCTGTACCTTAACATCTGCTTGATATGGACTGCAGGAAACCCCAGGGTTACTCCTGAAGTTACACGGGATGTATGTTTATTGGCTAGAATGATGGCTGCTAACTTGTACTTCTCCCAGATAGAGGATCTTATGTTTGAGGTGTCAAAAGAATCATTACTTCCACTTAGATTTGTTATATGATTCTTCTGTTCAGAGTACTTGAATACTTTTTTTTTCTTTTGCATATTGTATTTCTTATTACCATTTTTTTTCACAGTTATCTATGTGGCGCTGCAATGATGAGCTTCTTTCTCGTGCTCATGAACTTCATAGGTCTTCAAAGAAGGATGCGAAACACTATATAGGTATGCAATAGAGATGACTTCATGTTTTTATCATCCTTGCTTGAAACTTTTTCAATAGTTGGTAAAACTTCAAATCTTTGGCTTACTAAGTTGAACTTTTAGCAGAATGGCATGCCTAATCGTTGAAACTAGCTGAAAATTCTCTTAGTTCTATTAACTTTTTTGACTTTTTTTATAAAATTCAAGTGTGCAATGGATTTATTTATTAACTATGCTTTTTGGATGCAGAGTTTTGGAAGCAAATTCCTCCAAATGAGCCTTATCGCGTTATTCTTGGTGATGTAAGAGACAAGCTATACAGTACACGTGAACGTGCTCGCCAATTATTAGCCAATGGAATCTCTGAAATTCCTGAGGAAACAACCTTTACAAATGTTGAACAGGTCTCTCCTAACCACAAGCATTATGTATTTGGTTGTAGAGTTATAAAACAAACTTAATTGCCAAAGTCTACCTAATTTTAAGATTTGGTAAGCTTTAAACTTGGGGCAGTCTTTGAATAAATTACAATTGACATTCAGTATTGAAATCATGTTTGATTGTTCCCAATTTTTCATGCTCATGCAACAATGTTTCGTATTAGAGCTGATTTTGTCTTTTTGTTCCCTTGTAGTTCCTGGAGCCTCTCGAATTGTGTTACCGGTCACTCTGCTCTTGTGGCGATCGGCCAATTGCTGATGGGAGCCTTCTTGATTTCTTACGGCAAGTTTCCACTTTTGGGCTCTCTCTTGTGAGACTAGACATACGGCAAGAATCAGACAGGCACACTGATGTCCTAGATGCTATAACAAGGCACTTGGAGATTGGGTCTTATCGAGAATGGTCCGAGGAACGTAGACAAGAATGGCTCTTGTCTGAGCTTAGTGGCAAGCGCCCCCTTTTTGGCTCTGATGTTCCCAAGACTGAAGAAATTGCTGATGTGCTGGACACATTCCATGTCATTTCAGAACTTCCCTCAGACAATTTTGGTGCTTATATTATCTCAATGGCGACAGCGGCATCTGATGTGCTTGCTGTTGAGCTTTTGCAACGTGAATGTGGTGTGAAGAAACCACTAAGGGTTGTCCCATTGTTTGAGAAGCTTGCTGATCTTGAGGCTGCTCCTGCTGCCGTGGGCCGTCTCTTTTCAATAGATTGGTACAAAAACAGGATCAATGGGAAGCAAGAAGTCATGATAGGATACTCAGATTCAGGGAAGGATGCTGGCCGTCTATCTGCAGCATGGCAGTTATACAAGGCTCAAGAAGAGCTCATAAAGGTTGCGAAACAATATGGGGTTAAGCTTACAATGTTTCATGGTCGAGGTGGAACAGTTGGAAGGGGAGGAGGGCCCACCCATCTTGCTATATTGTCTCAGCCACCCGACACAATTCATGGTTCACTTCGTGTTACAGTTCAAGGTGAAGTTATTGAACAATCATTTGGGGAGGAGCACTTGTGCTTTAGAACACTCCAGCGTTTCACAGCAGCTACACTTGAGCACGGAATGCATCCTCCTGTCTCACCAAAGCCCGAATGGCGTGCACTAATGGATGAGATGGCTGTCATTGCAACAAAGGAATACCGTTCAATAGTTTTCCAGGAACCTCGTTTTGTTGAATACTTTCGCCGTGTAAGTATCCTACTTATCCAACGTGATCGTCCTTTCAATATATATGTACTTTTTGTGTGTGTGTGCGTGTGTATAAACTAACCATTTCAATAACATGAATCCCCCTTGACGCTTTAGCAACAATGTATTAGTTTCTCTTTTGGGTCAGTGGTATGTTAGTTACTAATTTAATCCTTTATGAAAGATAGTGTGTTGAATCCCGAAATTGAGTTTCAAGAATCATTCTTCTGTTGTCTTCCTCTTACATGCTTTGCCTACCTTAACATAAAATTTGTTCATTATTAGTTTTAAAGCTACCTATCCGATCAGGACAGAATTGGCTGATGAAGATTGTTCTGTAATAATTTTCTCTTGGATAATGCAGGCAACACCAGAGATGGAGTATGGCCGGATGAACATTGGGAGTCGTCCTTCAAAACGAAAGCCAAGTGGAGGCATTGAATCACTACGTGCAATCCCATGGATATTTGCTTGGACCCAAACAAGATTTCATTTACCAGTGTGGCTTGGGTTTGGGGCAGCATTTAAGCAAGCCATTGAGAAGGATGCGAAAAATCTCCATATGCTTCGAGAGATGTATAATCAGTGGCCTTTCTTCAGAGTGTCGATTGATTTAATTGAGATGGTGTTTGCCAAGGGCGACCCGGGTATTGCCTCTCTGTATGACAAGCTGCTTGTGTCAGAAGACCTATGGTCATTTGGAGAGAGATTGAGGGCCAACTATGAAGAAACTAAGAGCCTTGTCCTCCAGGTAATACAGTTTAGGCAGCCCTTTACACTTAACTTTTGCAAAGTACAAATTAAATTACTCATCATCTGTGTCCATAACCACCTTTTTACTTTTTCCTTAACTTGATTGTAAACCCGTAAGAGCATATATCTGAGGCTAATGTTAATTTAAAAATGTAAACTATCAATTTTATGAAAAAATTTCTGAAGTGCTATTGGTGTTGTTTTATTACTTATTTCTACAAGTTTAAAGTTTTTTGAGCGAATGTAATTAGTTTGACTGCACATGCAGGTATCTTAAGAAACTAAAATCATTTTCTGTTAATTTTGTAGGTTGCTGGACATAGGGCTCTTCTGGAAGGAGATCCTTATTTGAGGCAGAGACTCCTTCTCCGTGACTCTTACATCACCACCCTTAATGTGTGCCAAGCCTATACACTGAAGCAGATTCGTGATCCGAACTACCATGTTAAAGTAAGGCCACACTTGTCAAAGGAGTACATGGAAACAACAAGCAAGCCAGCGGCAGAGCTCGTAAAGCTTAATCCAACTAGCGAGTATGCTCCTGGACTAGAAGACACACTTATTTTGACTATGAAGGGTATTGCTGCTGGCATGCAGAATACCGGCTGAAGTTTAGGTATCTTGTATTTCAGTAACTTATGTTGGAACATATGAAGTATTGTACGAAATGGATGCTGTCTGCTTATAAGCGCTCTAAACCTCTATCGAATAAAAACTTATGTACTAAGTTTAATAAAAATAGCGTTTTGGTTTGTGTGAACCGGAATTTTCATTCTCTATGGCTTTCATGTTGTGGAAATTTATTACTTAGGTTTTCTTTTTGCAACAGCAGCAGGGAACGTTCAGTTATGATACAAACCATATGCTCATACTTTTGTGCTTCTCCATCTGTTCAAATTTTTGTTATTTGTATTCCCCTATTGTTTCAAAAGAAAAATATATAAGGCTTTTTATCATGAATGGTCTTGAGGTTTGTAAAATTATCGCCTTTTGTCGTTAATTGTTTTTTGTGACATCAATAGTCATTAAGGTTACACTCTGCACATTAAAATGGAGAAAAGAAAAAACCAGAGTAATCACAAAAGCCAGCGCCATCCCCCTCCTCTTGAGCCCTGGCACCCCACACCCATCCCTGCAGCACCTCCCTTCCGGCGCCCCTCTCTTTTTCTCTGGACATTGGTTTTGAGATTTGCATTTTGAATTCTCCATCTTGGCATCTTGAAAGGTGTTGTTGCCGCCCTTTTTTCTTTTCTTTCTTCTTGGTAATATTTTGCTGCCCAATTTTCATCTCTGCTGAAGTTGGGGTTGGGTAAGTTGAAAATGAAAGTGCCAACTCGAGCGACTCAACTTGCGATAATCTGGGTGAGGTGGAGTTTAGCTGTGTTGGAGAGGAGAGTGGCAGTGGCAGTGGCGGTGGCGGTGGCGGTGGGTGTGGGCTGGATCGGCGGGGGGTAAGTTGGAGGAAGGTAAGATAGGGGTTGCCTGGTGGTAGAACTGGCAGGTCTTTTGTGTTTTTTATTTTTTGAAAAAAAAAAATTTAAAATTTTAAGTTTTAATATTTATTTTAAAAAAAAGTTTAATTTTCTTTTTAATATAATATTATACCTTTTGTTTAAGCCTCTATTCTATTGGATGTGTGGTTTGATATATGTGTCATGTCAGCATTTTAATAGAAAAATTGATGGAAACCAAGGAAAGGATAATTTTGATGTGCGTAGGGTAATATAAAGGACCATTAGAGCGATTCCAACGCCCTACCCTTTTCTTGGGCAGAGGGGAGGGGCCTAGGCCCAAAAAGGGTTTTCAGCGGACAAATGCTGCCATGGCTGTTGGTGGGCTCTACAAGTCTGGGTTGGCCCAAATGCAAGAATAGCTGAGGGTTGTTGCTTGGGTTTCCCCTAACAATAATTTTTTTTTTTTTTTTTTTTTTTTTTTTTTTTATAAAAAAATCGAAAAAAAAATCCAAAAAAATACTTAAAAATTTCAGATTTTTTTTAAAAATAAATACTTAGTCATATTATTTACTTCCTACACCAAAACTCTACATAAATTCCTCTCCTCATATCTCATGTAAATAGTGGTTGCCGTGACAATGGGTAAAAACACCACAAGCATTTTGCAAGAGCTGTCACTATTTATATGAATAGTAACAGCCCTTGTCTTGCCCTTTGCCATGACAAATGGATGGAAGTGCTCTTAGTGTCACGAAAAAAATAAAGGGTGAAAGGTGATAATTTCGCAAACCTCAGGGACCATTCGTGATAAAAAGCCTAAAATATTGCTATTTTAATACGAGATAAATCTTCATACCAAAATGGTGAATTTTTTCAATTTTGATACAATTTTTTTTAGGAAGAAACTTGATAGAGATTTTAAAAATATATATGAAATATATTATAGATATATTTTGAGGTTTTAGGAGAAGGAACAAATATGTATGAAGGGAACTTGTATGGTATTTTTAGTTTTACTTATATAAGAGCATGTCCATCGCTGCACCAAACCTGGGCAAAAGGCCCCCCTGGCAGCCCATTTCCAGCTCCAGCGCACAGCACTGAGCCCGGGCAAATGGTGGGTCCCACCAGCCTGGGCAAGCCCACGGGCTAATCTTGCCTGGGCACCAAAACTCGGGCTGCTGACGTCAGCAGTTGATTTTCAATTTTTTTTTACTGTTGGACCCACCAGCCCACATTGCCCAATGATTACAAGCCATGTGGCTTCTTCTGGAGCCTCCGATCAAAAAATCTTGCACAATCCAACGGTTGTCCAATTTTTGGCTAAAAAAAATTGAAAAAAATATCAAAAAATTTTAAAAAAAATATCAAAAAATTCTGGAAATTTTTTCTATACATACCTACCAATATTATTCACTTTCCACACCAATTTAATTTCAAAATTTTATCCAAAAATGTTATCTTGATTTTTAGGTGAGGATTTTACGATAATATTAACACTTGGGAATTGAAAATCTTATCCGAAAAGCTTTTCAAAATCAATGGTTTAAGAATAAAAAATAAAAAATAAATTTAAGTGAATAGTAATTGCCTTAGACTTGCCCTAGACTTAGCCCTTATGAGTGGAACCACAAATGGCAAGGCTAACACTATTCACGTGAATAGTGGCAGCCCTTGCTTGCCCTTGCCCTAGACTTAGCCCTTGTGGGTGGAGATGCTCTAAGTGGAGAGAAAAATCATTATCTAAATTCTAACGGACTGGACATGCGTCAAGAACTATCATCCAATTTAACTGTATAATTCTTCCTATGTCAGGATTTAATTGTCTATGTAGATTTGGATGAAGTCAAGAACAAAATAAAGGTTTTTCAGCAGACATGATCTTAGCTTCCCCACTCTGCACACGAGTTCGAATCCCCCTCCTCATAGTCTAAATTTGATTATATTAAAGTAAAATATTACTTGTATAAAATAATAATAATAATAATAATAATAATAATAATAATATAGGTTTTTCATGCTGAAACAGTTGAAGTAATCAAATCTTGAGGATTTTAGCTCTGACTGGAACATGTATTGCTTGCCGACAAGAGTTCAATGCTTGCCCCTCCAGTAAATTAAAAAAAGAAAAAAAAATGTAGTTATCTGAAAATATTACAAATGGTATGAGGCAAATTATAGACAAATATATTCTTTTCCCTTGTTTTACAACATTCATACAGAACAAAAGACAACTAACGGCAATAACTAGTATAGAGCTCTGTTCAATTCACTACACGTCTTCACTTCCGAGCAGCTTATCTGTACATTCAGGTAATTAAATGAAAAAAACAGATCAAAAATAGAATCAAAAATAGAAACTATGCACAATAATTTTTCAATGGTTTTCAAGTTGTAAGTTGTAACTTGAAAATATGGGATCACACCACCCAGAGTAATTCCTATGTAGTTAGTTTCTATTGGAGGAAAGTTGGCCATCTTTCTTAACATTTATCAATTATATGCGAGTATAATACAAAATTCAGGAAATCTGTAATTCGAAACTCAATCGCATAGTTTCAAATTCGAAAAATGTTAGGTTGGTGAAAGTTTGGCCGTATAGTTTTCTTAATTTCAGCCAAAAGAGTGAGAGCGTGCTAACCAGCTGGAAACAACTGAGAGAAAAACAAACCTCTGAAAGCTGCATCAGAACTATCAATGGGATATTCTGCTGATCTATGAAGATGGGAAGGTTTAGCTTGAACTTGTGTCTGTTTTCTCAGCTACAGGAAGTGCTTCCTCTATAGCTTGGATAAAAGTAGCAATCTTGTATGTGAAGAATCCCACTAACATTGGTATCAATTCCAGTTGCATAAATCCATATTGTGGAACGACGAGCCTGCACCCAAACTCAACACTGTTAGTCAATGAAAAAGAGTCATGGCTATTGAATTTCTTGTCTTCAGCCATATCCACAGAAGTATTAGGCAAAACCACTGTAGATAAAGCATAATCACAAATGGTTATTTGATACCAATTTCACTGTAAAAATTTTCCAATAAAAATAGGGAAAGCATTTAAAAGAAACTCGCAGCAACCACCAATGGAAGTGTCTATTAAAGAAAGAAGATGAGTACAGTACATGGCAAGAGGAACATGCCACTGCAGATGCTTACCCATTCCACCTGTTAAAGATCATGACTAGTACAACAGGAACCAACAGCCTCGGTTGCCCAATCGCTCCCCTGCATTAACAGTCCATAAAGTTAAATGATATTCTTCTTTGTTCTTTAAAAACAGCGTATGTAAGATCTTGTCCTTTTTAAGGAACTGCTTTGGGCTGAAACACCATTTATTTAAGCAATATTTACAAATATGGAAGGACAATTCACTCGATCAACAGGCAGTGTGAAGGTTGAAAGCTTTCAAAAAAGATTTGTAAGTTGGAAGCTTACAAGAAACCTAAACCTGGTTAGCACTAGCAACATACGGTAATACTGGTGCTAGCAGGCATCTTCACATGAAGCTTCAATAAATTGAATGCAGATCAGGGAAAGTAGCTAGTTGTTGTTCAGAGTAAATTTTCCCAACATCTTGATGAATGTGTGTATGAAGTTAAAGAAAACATAAAATTGCGTATTGAACTCCTCATGAATACGTGCACATATATGAGAAGGAACTTCAATTAATTAATCAAATTTTGGCCTATTAGTTACTCAGTACAAAACATACAGCTGATGTATTTATCATCAAGCAATAGCCATTTATCACATACTTGAGAAGTCCCCTTGCTCCATCTGCCATGGAATCCACGCTACTCCCCAGCATACGCATGTAAGCCACAGAACCAAGCAACCCAACACCATAGCTGAATGCATAAGAGATGGATGAGCAATCCAACACTAGAGCTGAATGCCATCAACAAATTATAATCTATACAAAATGTATATGAAACACCATCAGATGTACTGAGATGGTGAATGTCGAAAGAACTACCTTTCACTAGTGAATCTCTTTAGAATTAACACACACGCAAAAACAAAAAAAAAACAAAAACCCATTAGCAGGGCCCATATTTGTTCACATACTAATAAACGAAATATGCTTTTTAGTATCAAACTAAGCAAAATGAATTCTATTGGTTGCATGCTCACAGATAAAACTATCAGGACATATTCTATTGTTGAACAAAAATAGAAGCTATGGACTTTTATTGAACCTTTAAAAAGCTAGAAACCTTAAATGTCATTGTCATGACTTATCCTAATCGTTAAACCATGGAGTTACTTTTATTGCACTTTAGTTTGCAAGCAACATACAAGTAATGTAACACCCTGAACCCATATGTACCATCTCAAATTGCAGAGTCAACTCAACAAAACTGCCCTCCTAATAATTTATTTACTCTAAATAAGCAGTATAAAATTTTCTTAAACTACAAGTCCTGTACATATAATATAGTTGTAGGACTGCCATGAAAACTTTTACGGTACAAAAAGGGAAGAAAAAATAAAGAAACAGAAAGCATGTAGAAAGAAGATAATCTTAAGACGTTTCCGTGCAGTTCACAAATTTGCTGGTAGGAATGGACAAGTAGAAAATGAACCTGGCAACCAAGATCTGGGATGACAGGACTTTAATAAATAAATAAATAAGAACTGAAAAGTCCATACCTAGCTGCAATTTCAGGGGAATATGAAACATAAGCTGAGACTAACCCAACACCGCCTAAACCTAGTGTAAGGAATTGCAACCTCTTCTTTAACTGCAATAACAACATCAAACGAAAAGTAATATTATTCTTTTTTTAAATTCTAGAAGTGCCAAAGGAGCATGAATATGAACAAAGGCAGGATGGTATAGACGATAAAGTGGACCAGTACTGCAGAGAAGTACCTTAAAATACTGTTTCCTATACTGTTCAGCCAATACTTTTGGGTCCTCCCGAGAGCGCCTTAATTCCCGAAACATCACTTCCTGCAGGTTATATCAAAGTGAGAAGCAGAAAAACAAGAAGCATATCCTTCAAAGTAACAAAAGTTGAACTGAAAATTCTATTTTTAAATATAAAAATCCTTATTCGCTTCTATAAGTTGTAAAGGCCTTGACATATAGATGACCAAGTCGCTGGATACCAATGGGGCTTTTAGTAAATATCAGACGTACACTGCCTCCAGTTGCAGCCTTAGTTGCTCTATCCCACTTATCTTGCTCACGCCGTGTTGGTGCCAATTTCCATTTGATTCTAGTGCTGCTGGCACTCTGGCAATAAATAAATTTCAGAAAAAGAAAAGTTGTAAATGCACAACTACCCTGAGATAAAAGTACTTGGATTGAAAAGTTAAAGACATTCATCATACTTGTGCTGGAGCCTCAACAGGTTCTATCTTGGGCTGGGCAGGGGCAGCAGTGAGTTCTTTGCTGAAATCAACTTCTAAACTGCATGTCCATAATTCAGTCAAGTTTTGAGAACAAAATTATTTTAAAAAGGAAGACAACTGAAACTATTGGTGAGAACAAACCTGTCAAGAGTCATGACTCTATTCAAGCTAAGAAACCCAGAAGGCTTTTCCTGATTACACCAAACACGCTTGATCACACAACAAAACCACAGAAACCATTCACAAAGAAAAAGACCACATGAGTTCATTCACCAAGACTATGTTTTGATTGCTAGGGAAAAACAAGGAAAGGAACATGAAATATTATCGTGCTTTCTTTTTTCCTTGTTAAGCCAAATTCAGCCAAAAAACAATGAAAAGGGCTTGGTTTATATATCATACAAGGAATCAAGATAGCGAATAACGCAATGTTTAAATTCCTCCTTTTCTTTCTTTCCTTTCAGTTCTTCAGTAACCAAACCAAAATGTCTAAGTAACAAGAAAGACGCCAAATTGACCAACAAACAAAAACCCATCTAATGGATTACTAAGCTAAATCAACATACATGTAAAAAAATCTAATATCATATCAAAAATCCATACATTTGAATAAAAACACAGAAAACCCATTATTCTCCAACCGCCCAAACATCAATATTTACAATCAAATTACCCAACCAAACCATCCAATCAAATGACAAACATAAGAAACACTAAACGAAACAAACCCAGATACGAAATCAATCAGCTCAGGAAAAAGAAAAGACTAATGAAATTGAAACCTGAACAGTAGTGGCTTGAGTGGAAGAGTCAGGGTCCTGAATGAGTTTTTTCATGCGGTCCATGAATTCTCTGTTCCAAATGAAATCATCAGAGGTAAGAGGGTCATCTTCTCCTCCCCAGTACTTTCGGAGCTTGGTTGTGGTTGGTGGGCCACCATACTCCCCTGGAGCTACCCCAGTGGACCATTTCATGGGCTTCTTCTTGGGCAATAGGATCTTGGTCTGTCTTGGGTCTGGTACAGGTGGAGTTGCTGAGTCTGGGGAGATGGGTGTTGCTGTGGAGGTCACTGAGAGACAGTGGTTCAGAATTGCCATTGCTTTTTTTGTTGATAATGAATCAATGATGATAAAGAAAGAGCTTCTGCTATTAATGGAACATACAAGAGTAATTTTTGTACGTTCGGGTCCGTGCACTACCATCTATTTTTAATGAAGCGCGGATTGAGTTTCTTTGTTTTTTTGTTTTTTTGTTTATTTATAAAAAAATACCGACTATAGCATGTTAAGGTGTTGTTTGATTTTTTTTGGTAAATACCACGAGGTGTTTCCACATTTGAAGCTGGTGCTCTCGGCCGAGGGGATATGCACCAACACAGGTCGCCTACTTTGTATTGGATGGGTGTGTGCGAGTGTGCTAGCATGGTCTATCGTGCATTCAAAGATGATGTGGATGGATGAATGGATGGATTGAGTGCACCTGTTTGGATATGACTTCGCTCAAAGAGATTGTGGCCGAGAGAGGACCAGTTCTCAACCGTCAAGTTCACGGCATGAAACTACAAGGTCGTTGATTGGGGTCGATGGCGGCAGGGATGGACCCACAGTGGGGTCAATGGGGTCAAACGACCCTATGGCCTTCATGAACGTAAGGTAGAAAGTCCCTTTGAACTTGTGTGTGACCCCATGAATGGCTGAAGGAGGAGCTGGAAATCTGAGGAAGAAGAAGCTGAACAGGGGTTCAGTTTTTTTTTTATAAACGAAGCTGACCAAAACGGCGTCGTTTTGGGTTAGCTTCTAATTTTTTTTTAAAACCGGGCTGGCCAAAACGGCGTCGTTTTGGACCAGCCCAGCGAATTTTTTTAAAAACTCGCTGGATCCAAAACGGCGTCGTTTTGAACCCAGCGAATTTTTTTTTAATGCGCTGGCACCAAAACGGCATCGTTTTGGACCAGCAGAAACAAATTTTTTTTAAAAGACCAGGCCAAAACGACGTCGTTTTGGTCCAGGTCTTTGAAAAAAAAAAAAAAAAAAAACAAATTGTAATTGAAACAGACCCTTCTCTTCGACCAAACAGAACAGACCCTTCTCAAAACTCCAAAACCCCCATTTCCTAAACCTAAATCCCCAATCTCCACCCACCCACGAACCTTTAACCCTCTACCCACCAAGCTTTAAGTCCTAACTCCTCCATTGCTGCCGCTGCCAGCAGCACCGCCGTGGCCAATTGAGAAGGATGTTTTTTATTGTATTGAAAATGAAGCTATAATGCTACGTTTTCAAAATATGAAACCTCGTCGTGGCTAATTGTAATTTGTAATGTTGTTTTTAACATGAATTATGAATGAATGTACTATTTTTTTTCAATTTTTAATGTTAATCTTAAAAAAAAAAAAAAAAAAAAAAAAAAAAAATTGAACTTTTACACTATGACCCTACGAGTTCATAATCCTGGGTCCGTCCCTGGATGGCGGAAGACAGTCGGTGGATTTGGATGGTGCTCTAGTGCCTCGCTAGATTGCGAAGGTTGTATGATATATGGGGTGGACGGAAAAATAATAGGGATGGTGCTTCGACACCTTGAAAATCAAGGGTCGTATGATATATTGATGGATGAAAGAACTTAACTTTACCACTACTCCTAGGAAAGCATTTAAAGATATTGAAAGTGCATTACAGGAAGATAAATAACTGGAAACGATACGTTGCTCAGTGGGAGGCTTATTTGGTCGGGGACCCTTTGAACGTTGCTAGGGGTCTTGTATTTATAGGAAGGGAATGAAGCTTGTGAATGGAGAGGATGATCTAAGGTGCTGCATTTAGTCTTTGCTTTTGGCTGTAAGTCCTTCGATCATCATGGCTTTGAGTTATTAATTAATTTTTGGCTTGCGTGGCTGCCAATCAGCCAGCTTCCCAAAATAGTGGACACATTCCCCTGATGTTCGGTCTTATCCTTGGTCTCTGGCGATCTGGGTCATGACCGAGTTCGCGGTCTACGAACTGTCCTGATTGGATGCCAGCTTGAGTGGGTTGTGGGTCTCTCGGCGTTATGGCTGTTTCTGAATTAATGCATTTAATCAAGGGGTGGAAAGCTTCTTTCTCTCCTGAAACTTCTTTCCAAGTTTCCTCTAGGACCCTTGCACATGTCTCGAGGTAATGGGTAGGTCATTGGCCATTCTCAACTGTCTGCTTGCTCTTGACTAGGGGTGGCAATTTCCTACACGACTCGAAACCCGCACGGAAAAAATACGACTCGAACCCGCACAATTAATAATTGGGTAATTTTCAGGTCAACCCGTTTATTAAACGGGTGGGTTTCGGGTCAACTCACCAACCCATTAAAACACATGTGTAACCCGTTTATTAAATGGGTCGTGTCAACCCGTGTAAGACAAGCCAACCTGCGAAAAAATATAGAGAAATAGAGACTTCAAAACACACATATGGGGTTTCGAACCCCCACCATCCTCATTACTATCCAACACCTTATCCACCATGCTAGATACAACTTTGTGATTATATACTATGCCTTTCGATATTTATAATGTTTCTTTTTCTTTTATCTTCTCCTCTCTCTTTTTTAATTTATTTTCCTTCTCTCTTTTCTCCTCTCTTTTTTTACTTCTCTTTAGTTTTCTCTCCTCTCTTATTTTTTTTCTTTCTTTTGCTTCTCTTTAGTTTTCCCTCCTCTTTTTTTTATTTTATATTTCTTTCCTTCTCTCTTCTCTCTCTCTCTCTCTCTCTCTCTCTCTCTCTCTCTCTCTCTCTCTCTCTCTATTTTTTTTCTTTTCCTTCTCTCTTCTCTCCTCTCTCTACCTTTTTTTTTCTTTCTTTTCCTTATATTTTCTCTCCTCTCTCCGTTTTTTTTATTTAAATTTTTTCAGTTATGACTTTTGTAACATGCATGTTATTATTTATCAACCCGTTACATGACTCAAAACTCGCACGATAAAAGACGACCCGAACCCGACACAACACGTTTATTAAATGGGTTGGGTTCGGGTTGAGCATTCTTGACACGTTTAATATCCCGACACGACACGAATCCGACATGACCCAACTCATTGCCAGCCCTACTCTTGACCCTGCATACCATGACTACGTTCTCCCATATGTTGTATGTTGGTGGCTCGACCTCGACCTCTCAAATTGTGATCACGTGTGTTAACAACTGGGTCGTCATCTTAGGCCAACTTTTATCCATTGGGCCGAAAAAATGGCCTCAACATGGGAAAGCTTGACCAATTTGGCTCTAGACTTTGGCATTCAACTCGGAGGTTCGGCCGTTAATATACCACCATGTGGTTGGCTCCTTGGGTCGACAAATTTAGGCATAAACACGCTCAAGAGAACAACCATGGAATCTTCATAACATATTTAAAACAGCTCAAAATGCCCTTAGTTAATTGAAATATTAAGAAACAAAACTATTCATCACAAGAGCATAATATAAAAACTTAATAGTTTTTTATATAAAAAAATTAATGAAAATATGAGAAGATGGGTCCTACTTCTATAGGACACAACTAAATGCATTTTCATTCTAAATTTTAAAAATCTAAAAAAATAAATAACCAATTGGCACATGTGGCCTAGTGAAGAACAATTTGGGCTTTACCTTATCAAAAGATTGGTCTCTTGAGCTCGTCTAATTTTAGTTTTTAGACCAAAAATCAATTTATTTTTTGTGCGTTATGATAAACATAAGGACAATGCTTTCCTCTTTGCCAAAAAAAAATTCCATTGTTTTTAAAAATAATTTTCCTTCATAGATAATTTTTCGTAAGATATGAAAGCTGAAGAGTCTGACCACTGCTTTTTTTTTCTTTTTTTTTTTTTCTTCTTGTTTTGGTGAAAAGTTATGGGTTTAGTAAAAGTGAAGGAATAAAAATCAGTTTTGACAATTAAAAAAGAGAGAATACATGTCACTTTGTGCTTGAGCCATAGTGGACGGGAAGCATTTCATTTGAACATAGCATTATCAACACCTCATTCATTCAATTTAGTTTGAGAGGAAAACCTACGAAGTTCGCCTCAGTTAGAACATTAAATGATTATTTGCATCCTAGCCATACTGCATCTCCATCATGCATTGTTTTTCCAGATAATATGCCCAACTATGATTTTAAAACTGGCATGATTCAACTCCTTCCTGGTATTGAGGATTCTACCGTGTGTGTCTGGGGAGCAATAGTCCCCTGGTTGGACTACTCATTCCCTAGCCAGATGAGTATTGAGAATTCTGCCATGTGGCCTAATAAAACAATTCCTGTGTTGGATTGTTTCCCCTGGTACATATTGGTGATGTGTTTGTTTTGGGTGTGTGTACATTTATAGTTATATTTATATTATATATATATATATACATATACAGTCCCCTTCTATTGAGGGATCCCTCAAATAATTTAATTTGAGGGATGCCCTTTAGGGTACTCTACAATTTATTTTCCAATGATCCAAACAATCTATTTTTTAGGTCTTCATTCATCGATCATCCTTACGAAAAAGTAGACAATTCGGAAACCATTTCGACATCCAATTGTGTCTTACAAAATCAATGAACACAGTGCTTCTAGAAAATACTAAAATTTCAATAACTTTATTGAGTGGTCAAATGATATCGGATTCAAGTTATTTTTTGTAGAAATGATCTTTGAATGAGTATCTACAAAATATATGATTTGGATTAGTGAGATACAATCTGGAGTGGCCCCTATAAGGGTTGTTCCTCAAATAAGCTTATTTGAGGGATCCCTCAATGGAAGCTCTCTGTATATATATATATATATATATATATATATGTATACGTGTATATATGTGGATTTTACTTTCCAGGTTTGAGGTTTCTTGAGCATGTTCATTGAGACTACAGGTCCTAAATATCCTACATATCTGAGGTCAAGACCACCACGTCGAGGCATCACCGTTATCCACACTGTAGGAATTCCTCGTTTATCTTTCTCTACTTTACTTTCCCCTAGTTTTAAACTGAATCTTTAGATGCTCTGCTTGCTCGTTTCGAGTTTTGGTTGAGAGTGTGAAGCCCTTTGGATTAGTCTTCAGTATTGTGCATGCCCTTACCTTGTACATGTTGGAAGTTGGGTTGTTCTGGTGTTTGCAGGGACAATAATTTGGGAATTGTTCCAAGTACGAGGGAGATACTGTCTAAATTTCGGTAGAAGTCGAACTATTTATCCATTTAAATTAGGGCTACAAGGCTTTTTAGTAAAGTGGGTCCGACATTGGGTAGATGTCGAATGAGAAGCAAGGTTTGCCATGGATTCTTAGGGGGAATACGGGGCGGGTCCTGTCAAGTGGGGATAAAAAATTTATTCTCTTTTTCTTCACTTTCATATATGTGTGATCTTTGATACCCCTCTTCTTGCAATCGTATGATTGATAGTCCTTGAATAGTTGTTGTTGTTGTATATATATCCATGTACAAAAGCATCCCAATTATTTTTTCTACTTTCCTTATTTTTTTTATTTTTTATTTGGTTGTGGGTAATTGTAATACCTTTACAAGTTGGCATAGGCCATGGCACGGTTTTGATGTTTTGCACCATGCCAAGGCAAGCCAAGGGTGTGTGGGAGGTGCACTCGTAAAGCAAGACAAGGTCGGAAGACATGTGTTTTGGGCTGGGAATTGGCAGCCAAGACATGGTAGGAGCGCAGCGCAGCACACAAGGAAGGTAGCGCAGCGTGCAAGGCAAGCTGCACAGTGCAAGGCAGCGCTCAATGCGCAAGGCAGATTGCACAGTGCACGAGGGCAGATTGTGCTGGACGTGGGCAAAACGGTTTTTGAGCAGTCCATGGGTGGTTGGACGTGGCTAAAGGTGCTTACTTGATAGTGGCAGCATGTTCCAAGTAGTGGGGAGATTTTTAAGGAGAAAAATCTGCCCCATGATGACATGAGTGGGCTACAAGGTGGCGGCTTGTGAGTGCTAGACAGGTTTTTGTGGAGGGAAAACATGTCCAGGTGGCTAATCTAACGGTTGGCAAGGTTTCCTACGTAGATGGGGGGTGTCATCTACATAGTGCAGGCTTATAAATACCTTGTGAAGGTGTGTGGTTGAGATACCAAGTGATGTGGTAATCCAACTGAAACTGAAAATTTGTAATCCTTTGCTATTGTGAATAGAAGGTTGGGAGCTTTCCCGTATATGTGTGTGCGAAAGTTTCCTGCGTGAGGCAAGTCTCACTTATGGGCGTTGGTATCACTTGTTCCGCTGCGTGTACTCTGAAGCCTCACGGGTTTTGAGGTGAAGAGAAGGTTGACTTAGGTGGAGTCTAAGTGCCGGACAAGAGTCGAAAAATTAAAGGCGTTTTTCACCCTTGTTACAGTAACCATGGCGTCATTTTCTGTACAGTATATATATGATGGCAAACCATGGCTAGATATATAAGTAACTAATTACGAACTAGATATATGTATATATATATATATATATATATATAGATATATAGAGTAAGCAAACCATAGCGTCTTTTTCTAGACATCATATCATACAGTAAGCATTCCTGTTTTTTTTATTGGTTATGCCTTTTCCTTATTTATTTATTTATTAATTGTTGTTATATGGTATTTGTTTATGTACAATATATATATGATAGCAACAATTATATATAATGGCCTTCTTTATCAATCTACAATGTATATAGGCCTCATCATTTGGCCCGCGGCTTATGGGTCGATGGGGGCCCGCCTGGCCTGTTATGGGCTTTGAGATGGCCCAGCCCGCCTTGGGTCGGGCTAGGCTTGGGCTTGGGTGTCTGAAGCCCGGCCCGGCTCATAGGCCCGGCCCGATTAAGCCCAAGAAAGCCCAACCTGGCCTACCCACAAAAGCCCGGCCCGTTAGGCCGGCATACATATATAATTATGTATAAATAAGAGTTTATGATTAGGATTATATCATTTAAATCACATATATAATTTGTTTCATTTCATTTACTTTTCTTTACTCATTCCTAGTTTATAATTGGATGATTAGCACATTAATTTGTGTCAATTATTAATACAACAATTATATATATATAAATAAGATGAACAACATATCATATCACCAAATATAATCATATCACGAAACATAATCGTACCATCAAACATAATAATGCTTTTCTTGAACACATCACCAAACATTTGCATATTTATTCATACCATCCTTTAAAAAAAATATTTTTTTTATACTTATTATTTTTAAAAATTATTTCTTAAAACATATTACGGTCTAAATATGTAATAACCTCAAAAATAATACTTGGTTTTAATATTTTTGTGGAAAATCTTATTAAGTTGTGTGACTTTATTGGGTGTTTTATGAATTTGGTTTGATGTGAAAATATTGGAATTAAGTGAGTTTAATCTTAAATTTGGACTAAAATGCCCTTATGATTAAGTTTATGATTTTTTTCGAATGAAGTAGGCCCGTTTCGGCCCGGCTCATTGGTCGGGGTTAGGCTTTGAAATTTCTAAAAAAACCCGGCCCAGCTCGATATTTTCTCTCTCCTCTTTAAAGCCCGGCCCGGCCCATTGACGAGCCCTAAATGTATATATATAGTTCCCGCCAAAACGAAAGGAAAAAATAATATATATATATATATATTTTCTTATGAACTAATTAAAAATTGCATGTATTATCTAGTAACATTATAAATAGGAGATTCAAACAAGGAAAAGCAAAAACACCTTATAACTCATGGACTTCGAAAGAGAGCAATATGCTATTAGAACTAATGGTTGATGTTGCTAACCGTGGATAGTGCGATTCTAATGATTTGCCAAACAAGCAAATAGTAGAAAGCAAGATACTTCTGGTTCTTAATGCAAAACTTGGATGCCAAAAACTTATCTTTAATATCAGAGCCGTTTGAAATGGTTTAAGACAAGATATCATAGTTTTACTCAGCTTATGCGTCATTGTTCTGGATTTGGGTGCGACTCCATCTCAAAGAAATTCACAACTACTGAAGAAGTATGGCAAGATTACTTTAAGGTTAGATTTCAATTTTGTTAAATATTACTCTACATTGATAACTTTCACACTTTATGCATGTTATTAATTTTTCTTCTTCTATATTTTTGGTTTTTGCTAGTCCCACCTAAGTCAAGTGCATCTTCAAAGAGAAACATTTGCAGACTATGATGATTTGGTAATTGCAATTGGCAATGGAACGACTACTGGGAAAAACTCAATTGGACTTGGTGATGATACCGATGCTAAAATGTATGAAGTTGGAGAAAGTAGACCTACTAGATTGTAGGATACCAATGAGGCATTTGTACCAAGTTAAAATGAAACACCATACCGAACTTTGTCATCTGGTAATTTTACTTCATCACCTTTTCTAGACACAAATTTGGAGGCTCCATTAGAAAAGCTCTCTCCAAGAAAGAAACTTAAAACCGAGTATGAAGAAAATACTAAGTTCAGTTGAGACCATAACTCGAGAACTGGTAGAAAAAAATTTATGTGGGCATGTATTCAATTGCTGCAATTACCATTGAAATTCGAGGATTGCATAGCCTAATGGAGAAAAGAGAGAAAGATAGAGAGAAAACCAACAATGTTTAGGATGCTATCAAAAAGACTCCAAACTTCGATAGTCGTGCTTGTTACAAAGCGCTTGGGCTGGTTCATAAGTTGGGAATGAAAAATGTGTTCCTAAAAATGTTACTTGAAGAGCGCTCAGAATGGATACTATACAATATGGAATGAGTGTGGTTCTTTGAGATTATGTTTACCATTTTAGATTATGTTGAAATTTTGGTTTAAACTATTTTTATAACTTTGATTTGGAAGTATTTACCATTTTGGAGAAGTGTTAAGACTTTATTCGTTTGGAATTTATTCAACTTTGGTTTAGAATGAACTATTTGGTTCTATTTATTGTGTTACTTTTGAGTATTGCTTGTGTTTTATGTGCCTTTATGCTTTTTCACTTTTGTCTTTTGGTTCAGAATGAACTATTTGGTTACTATATATGTTCTTAGTGGATGGGAGGGTTCAGCTCATGATTCCAAAGTGTTAAATGATTCTTTATCAAGGAGGAACGAACTTAAAGTGCCACAAGGTACCTATTTATTTATTTTTGTCTATATTAGGTAGTATTGTAAATATTAATTGGACTTATATCGCATATATAGGTAAAGATTTCTCAGTGGATTGTGGATTTCCAAATCAACGTCAATTTTTAGCTTCGTTTCGAGGTGTTCGATATCATCTTCAGGATTTTGTCGGTCAAGGTCATGATCCCTAAAATGCAGTCGAGTTGTTCAATCTTAGATATGCTTCCTTGAGAAACGTAATCGAGAGAATATACGGTATATTTTAGTCACGATTCACAATTTTTAAGTCTGCCCCTCCATTTCCATATAAGACACAAGCAGAGTTAGTCTTAGCTTGTGCAAGGTTGCACAATTTTCTGTGCAAGGAGTGTCATTTTGATGAATTTCCTATTAAAGGAAACAATGACCATTCAACATTGTCATCATTACCAGAAAATGAAGGAAATAATTATGACCAAGTTTTTCAAACCCAAGAACAACAATGCGTGAATGCTAACCAATGGAGGGTTGGAATATCTTCAAATGTGTGGAGAGATGCTATGAATGACGGGAGTTAAAGATAAGCAATGAAGCAGATACTTATTTGTTTTTATGCATTTATAATTATAATTTACTTATCATTTTTTTGGTCATGAATTAACTTTTATGTTTTTACTCATTTTTCATAAATATGCAGACATAAATCCTTATTTGGTTGCACATTTGAACAAAACATATACTCTCTTTTTTTATATTATATTTTTATGCATATTGTTTGGACGTTCTGTTTTTGTAAAGGTAATTTTCTATTTTGAAAATATGGAAAAACAATAAATAGCCCAAAGAAAAGGGAATTTTTTATTTTTTTTTAACTCTAATCAACTTAGGAAATCAGTCAAACTCTATGTGGAATTTATAGAAATCAATTGAAATATATTGAACTCTATAAACTTAAGGATGATTTTATTGGCACCCCAAAATTTGCTCTTTGCACCCCACATTCTCTTTCCACCTCATTGAATTTTAGTAAAATTTAAAATTACTCACTACACCCCATTTTCTTCATAAATTACCCTCATGAACCCCATTTCTTAAATTACCTTGTTTCAGTGGGAGTCCACCGAATTTGGTTCTGTTTTTCAGTGGTTGTCCACTGAATGTGTTTTCGTTTTTCAGTGGTAGTCCACCGAATCTATTTCAGTTTTTCAGTGGTAGTCCACCGAATTTGCTTCCGTTTTTCAGTGGTAGTCTACTGAATTCGTTTCTTGTTCTAGTGAATTCGTTTCTTGTTTCAGTGATCATCTACCAAATTCGTTATTGAGTTTGTACTTAATATTGTTTTTTAGATATGAAGAGGACTCACCGAGGTAAAATTATAAATTTGTTATGACTTCAACCTTTTCAATTTTGTACTTTTTACTAAGGCATTAAGTTCAAATTCTTTGCTGGAGCACAACGAGTGTATGTTGTCCTGTACTAGGCCACTCGTGGCATTAGGGGAATCAGTTGCATTGCGTACAAGACCTTTCCAAGTTTATCAAGTAGTTGAGACCCTGCAGCAGATTTTAGAGGGTACAAACATGCGGTCTACATGACATGTCAACTTCGTCATGGTTAACTGACCTGCTAGCATGCGTCTATTAGAACTCATGAAACTTTTGTTGTTTTGATTAGTTATTGCATGTTTGTATTAGAACTCATGGAACTTTAGAACTTTAGAACTCATTCAGACCCTTATGAAGTTTGTCCCACCAAAAAGGAATATAAGAAAATAAATAGAATTATTAGATTTATAATCTCAATTCTGTAATGGGTGCATTTTCGTCAGTCATTAGGATGACTGTATCTATAGCATAGCATATAAAATTAAACTATGTAGCATAAACAAATAAATTCATACATAGATATAGTGATCATCATCAACAAAACCAATGGCAATTTAGTGTAGCTTGGTTTTGCTTGATTGAATTAAGAAGGAAAGAAATGTGTCAATGCTTAGAAGAATTAAAACCACATTCTAACATGTGGCAATAATATGTCCCATATCAGGCATGGTCCCGTATCAGAACCAAAAACACTAAAACATGATCCGGCAGTTTTGGCCAGTATACATGTGCCTTTTTTAGACTCAAAATTTCCTACTCCAACGGTCAACTATTTCAGTCATGCATTATATTCAACAATTAATATCTGAGAAATAATTAATTTGACTTAGTATTAAATACAAAGTCAATGCCCCTCTCTAAACCTTGTAGCTTGTAATGGATCCCATAAAAGAGATGGAGCAGGACAGGTGGCCCCTTGTTATTGGTCGAAAAATGGGATACTTGCTAAGTAATGTCTTGCTTAAAGATCCCATCTGTAACCTGCAAGACAGGTAGAAGGAGATTAAAGTCGGTGCACGAAATTCATAATAAACTATATATATATATACACTGTCAATTTCATAGATACAGCTTCATACAGAAAAGCTCATAAAGATTTCTTCAACCATTTGCAAAAGCAGAATGACGGTAAGACATCTTTTCTGTTTCTGCTTTTTTTTTTTTTTTTTTTGTTTGTTTGTAACAAATGAAATGAAGTTGAGATGATATTATCTGACTATTGAATTCCTAAATTTATTTATGATTTTTTTTCTTCTAACATTACAAAACCACTTTGACATGATGCTTTTCATTTCTCAGACAGTAGAGATGAGAGTCCATATGGACTGCCCCGGATGCGAGAGCAAGGTTAGAAGTGCCCTTCAAAAGCTAAAAGGTATATGCACACCACCAAATTGAGTTTGGTGTATATGTAACACCATTAAGATAGTAAATTAGAGGGATGAGAGAAAGGAGAGAGATGGGAGAGTACAAGAGGAGGGAGAATAAGTAAAATTAGAAATTCAGGTTCTACATTTTTGTTCCTGATGTCCACATCTGGGTTGCAGATTGACTTTCTAGCTCTGTGTTTTTATTTTTGATTTTGTTACCTTATTATCTTAATGGTTTGCACTTTGATTTGGATTAGGTGTGGACAACGTTGATATAGACATGGCCATGCAGAAGGTGACAATCACCGGATGGGCTGACCAGAAGAAGGTTCTCAAGGCAGTCCGGAAGACTGGTCGTAGGGCTGAGCTGTGGCAGTTCCCCTACAGCGCAGACCACAATAACTTCAGTACAGATCAATATTATAATCAGCAGTGCAATGGCCCACTCAACAACTATACACATCAGCCTTCATCATGGTACAACTACTACAAGCATGGCTATGATGGCCCTTCTCATGGCTATTCTCAAAATCCCGCAAATTCCACTAGTGCTTATGGCTATCAAACCACTGCTGCCTTTAGTGATGAGAATCCTCATGCTTGTTCTATAATGTGATGATATTTAAGTAAATGTTTTTCCATTTTTTTGAATAATTTGATGCATCAAAATATGCAATTAATTACCTTCTGATCGGTGTTACAATTTTATCGATGCACTCTATTGTAAATTTCATGATAAGATACTTTCAATTGTTCATGTAAAAGGTTCTATTTTCAATTTTGTCTTTAAATTTTTCCTTCACACAATTGCGTAATTAACTCATTTTGGAGTTGTTTCATTCAAAATCAATGCGAGCTACTAAGTACCTTTTTGGTAAGAAAACGTAGACATTGCAAGCTCTTCATCTAGCTGCTGAAAACACCCAAACTCTCAAGCCTTAATCCTTTCTTTATGCTAATTTTCTCTTAGCTCCCACGCCATAAGCCTCTCAAGCAAAGCCTGTGCAACATCAATGGACCATCTCCAACTCTTCATCTAGCTGCTGGAAACATTAGCACAAAACACGAAGCCGCTAGAAGAAGAACAAAAAGTAGTCCCCTAGGACTTGCTTCTCCCTCGAGATGCTTTGGGCCTAGTTCTCTCTAACTAAAAAAAAGTGGCAACGAAGGCTTGATTCACCACTCTATAGCGGTCCAAGAATCAACAACCCCGGACAAGCATTCCGAAGGAAAAAGACCGCAACACGGGGTAAAAAAGTTTATAAATCAAAAGCGTTTTAAAAAAGTAGTTGTAGTTTTCCAGCTGTTATTTAGTAGCTTGGCATCAAAGTCTTCGATCAAACAACACTTCAATTAAATCCAATCGTTACAAGGAAAAACCATCATATAGAGAAACCCCACCGACTTTATTTTCTCCTCATAAAACCCCAAATTCACTTACTGTTCTTATACAATAAATCACCAACCCCACCAGTTGATTCTCAGAGCTAAATTTATTTTTAAAATTTAGAATCATTCTTTGCAAATTCAATTTGATTGTTCAGAGTGTTTGTCCCACATTAAAAAAGTTATGGGACTCATCATGAGTTATAAGGAATTCGAGTACTCCCCCCATTGCCAATTAATTTTGGGTGTGAAGCCTTAACTTCATTCACTGGGGTGATATTTCTCCATTGGCTCACTCACACACATTGCCAACATTGTTTTTTTTTTTTTTTTTTTGTTTTTTTTTTTTTTTTTTTTTTTTTTTTTTTTTGGATGCTCATTATGTTTGGACATGCCAAGCATACTCTTACTTTTCATTTTTTCAAAGGACTTGATGAAAGTTTTTCCCCTTTCTTTGTATGCCTCTTATTTTTCATTTTTCTTTAATATAAGCGATAATCTAAACTATAAGAGCAAGTCTAGCGCCCCACCCAAACTGGGTGAAAGGCTGCCAGGGCGAGCCCGAGATGGCTCCAGTGCAGGAGATGCAGCCCAGTTTCGTGGTGGGTCCCACCAGCCCGAGGAAGCCCAAGGGCAAGTCTTGCCTGGGCTGAAGCCCGAGTCTGGTGACGTTAGCTATGACATCACGCTGACGCTAGCGCAAGGTAAATCAATTTTTTTTACTGTTGGCGGGTGAATTACACGCGCCAACGGAAAAAAAAATTTGATTTCCGGGCGTTGACATCAGCGCTGGCAGACTCCAACGGTAAAGTGCCACGTGTCGCGACAGGGGCACTTCGATCCTTTTTTTCCAGAAATCCGACGGTCCTTGTTTTTTTTGGCTAAAAAAATCGAAAAAAATTGAAAAAATTCTGAATTTTTTTTAAAAAAATACCAAAAAATTTTATATTTTTTCCATATAAATACCTAACCATTTAATTCACTTTCCACACCAAATCTTCATAAAAACTCATCTCCTTCCAATATTTTTCACTTTTCACACCAAATTTTCTACTACAAAATTTCATTTATGCAAAAATACAAATGTCATCTTCCATTGAAGCCAGAGGGTCATGGACAAATGTTCGAAGAGGTCAAAATCTTGGCAAAGAGGTAAAAAATAATAATAATTTCCGTCTTATTCAATTTAATGTCTTTATATATATATATATATATATATTTCTTGCATTTCCAATTTCTTTTTTTTAATAGATTAGTCAAGGCAAAACAAAAAAGAGGAAAACCATTACACATGGCTCCTCAAGTGAACAATGCCCGCAGTCAGTTCCAGTGGTGCGTTCCGTGTCAGAAATAATGGCACTATTACGTCCTCCGAAGGAAAATACTCCCTCACGTCGTGATCCGGTGGAACCGCCTCCACCAATGATGGAGTTGTCCTTGTATTCCATCGTGTCGGACTATGAGGACTAAGAATATTTCAATTGTATGATGAGTGAGTAGGTATTTCAATTGTATGATGAGTGAGATGTTAATTTTATAATAAATATGGACACGTGGTAACCGAAAATTTTATTTGAAAATTTTATCTGAAAAATGTTATCTTAAATTTTAAGTGAAAATTTTATAATAAATAGTGACACGTGACAACCGAAAATATAATCTAAAAAGCTTATCAAAATTAATGGTTTAAAGTATAAAAAAATAGGAAATAAAGTACAATGAATAGTAATTGCCTTAGACTTGCCCTTCATGGGTGGAACCACAAATGCAAAGGCTGACACTATTCACGTGAATAGTAGCAACCCTTGCTTGCCCTTGCCTTAGACTTAGCCCTTGTGGGTGGAAGTGCTCTAAGGGAAGGGGAGTTGCTCACACATATAAACTACTAAGATGTCATGGGGTTTGAACTTGAGACCACTGGTTTGCAAATCAATGCCCTTTTTCACTAGGCTACACCTCGTTGGCTAGTTTTACTTTCTTTTAAGTTTTAATCTTAGGCTTTTTTTTGTCAAAGTTAGGAAGGGGGAGGTAGGAGATACCATGGGGGCTTGAACGCAGGACCACTTGGGAGCACACCAAAGGTCTGGGGCAATCCAACTAAACACCCAATTGGTTAATGTTAGGCTATTGAAAGTTTTAAAATGATTTTTTTTTTAGTAAAAATGGCGGAAAGTATTTTTTTAATCAATGGGGAGGGGAAATTTGAACTTTGAATGTTTGAAACATTGGAAAGATAAATACTGCAACACACTAGAGCCTTTTTTTTTTTTTTTTTTTTTTTTTTTTTTTTTTTTTTAGAACTAGACTATTTTTGGGAGTGCTTCTAGAGGGGCTCAAAACACTTTATGACAACCAAAAGCGCTTCTCTGACTGCGTTTGGCTGGAAAATTAAGAAGTAGTGTTTCTGAATCGTAGAATCACTTTCTAAAGAAGCACTCTCAAATGCATTCCTAGGAAGTAGTTAAATTTATTATGAAAATTTTAACCCTTTTGTAATAAAAGTGCTATTGTTAGAAGCGCTTTATAAATAGAAGTGTTTCTTAAAGAAGCAGTCTCAAATGAACCTAAGAACTAGTTGATGGCCACAAAGTTTTTTACTTAATTGAAAATCGCAAGCTATAACTTTTTTGAATTTTAACTATATGGTGTAAGCTTGTGTAAGGTTACAATCAAACAAACAATTTTAACCAGAGGGGTAGGTAAATTTTCTTTATATTTTTCTTTAAAAGTATTGCTTTGAACAAAAAGACTTTTGTATCTCGAATGAATGTGAGGCCATAATGCTCTGACGATTGAGTGTTATATTACCGAGACCGAGATGATCCTGGGGCCATTCTCATGTGCTAAGAATTTTGGTTGGTTTAAATTTTAAAATACTTAAAAAGTTATTATTATTTGTGTTCTGGTCCTTTGACCGGGGGAATTTCGAACTTGAGATCTTTTATCGTTTTCTTCAAAGATTTTTCATTTCTATTTCTCATAAAAAAGAATTTATAAGTAATTTTTTTAAAAAGAGAAGGTTTTTTTTTTAAAAAAAAAACATAAAGTAATTTTTTTGGGTATTGAAAAAAAAATTGTCTAATGCACCCATAATTATTTGCAATATTTCATTCCCATTTGCAAATTGGTGTTAATAGTGTAATTGGTATCTAGGTTTTATGTAATTACTTTGTGCAAAACATAATTTTTTAAAAATAAAAGTTCATCTATATTGATATTACCCAACTCTAATTTTCTTGCCAGCCTGTAATTAGCACCGTAATATCAGAGTCCTAATCCTTATGGGTTAAAAATGAAAAGTTTCTACATTCAAACGTGTTTTGAACTGGCACTAGTTGTAGTTTTCCAGCTGTTATTTAGTAGTTTGGCGTTCAAGTCTCAGATCAAGGAAGCCCCACCGACTTTATCCCCTTATAAAACCCCTATTTCACCTTCCTTTCATCTCACTGTTGTTATAGTAGAGAGAGTCCAAGAAACACTAGGGCTGTGAATTTTGTTGTGAAGAAGCTATCAATCATGAAAAGAAAGGCAGAAATAAAAGTAGAAGTAAACATAAAGAAGCAGAGGAATTGCAGGCGTAATCATGGAGTGAACTGGGTAAGAGGAGAGCTGATCGGAAGAGGAAGATATGGGACTGTTCATCTTGCCACTTCCACGAAACCCATAACACGGTTTGGTCGTAGGCCTGAAATTATGGTGGTGAAATCGTCTAACGGGGTGCCGTGTTTAAGGTCTGTCCAGCATGAGGCAGAGGTGCTCATCAAACTTAAGGGCTGCCCTTCTGTTATTGAGTGCTATGGTGGACAATTCACCGCCGATGAGAATGGTGCGAAGGTCTACAATTTGTTCTTGGAATATGCCTCTGGCGGAAGACTTGATCATCTGATCAAGAAATCCGACGGTTGTGGATTGCCGGAATCTGAGGTTAGGTGGTACACCAAGTCAATTCTTGAAGGGGTTAAGCACATTCACCAGTGTGATTATGTTCACTGCGATTTGACCCCAGAGAACATTCTGCTTGTGCCTACCACCACAAGTTGTGGAAGTATTAGTTTGGTGGCAAAGATAGCCGATTTCGGATTGGCTAAGAGAACGAAAGAAAAAGTTGGTGGATCTGGATGTAGGGGCTCTCCAATGTATCTGTCCCCAGAAGCTTTGCTTAACAAGTTGCAGGATCAGCCCTCTGAAATTTGGTCTGTTGGTTGCATTGTGCTTGAGATGCTCACCGGGAAGCCCCCATGGGATACGAGTTATTGTTGGAAGCCTCGGGATTTCCTGAACAAGCTGGTTTTTGACTCTCCCAAGATTCCAGCTAAAATCTCAAAGGAGGGGAGGGATTTTCTAAAGATCTGCCTAGCCTTCAATCCCTGTAAAAGGTTAACTGCTGAAGAGCTCTTATCTCATCCGTTCGTTGCTCAGTCAATACCACCAGAAGAATATAATGGAGCTTCACAATCTGATACTGCAAGTGTAACTTTGAGTTCAAGCAGTGAAGAAGTGACTCTGCTTTGATGTTATAAAGTGATCAGTTCAAGTTTGTAAGGGTAGAGACTCTACAAAATTTCTGTGTAATGATCCTAATTTCTGTCCTTTTATTGAAATAGAATTAATTACTGAGATATGATTCAAAAGTAGAAAAATGATTAGCATTTGTAGCAGAGGGGATTTATTCATGAAATAATTTTTTGGATTTGTTTGAATGGTTTCTAAGATCTCTCTCTCTCTCTGACAAACAGAGTCAAATCTGATGGAAACTAAGAATTGCACTAGTCTCCTGTTCAAATTTCATTGTCCTGCTTCATGTAGTCGATGATCAGTAAACCACCAGAAGACAAGGACACTGCAGCAATCTGGCAAACCAGAGAATCCCAGTAGAAGTAGAACAACAGAAAAACAGCTTCTGGTGTGAGAGTTTTAGGCGCTGAAAGTCACAAATTCCTCTGAGCCAAGCTAAATAGAAAACTCACTATTATCTTCTATTGGAATATCACCTTCCATTATAATCAGTGCCTTGAGCCAATTATTCTCCCAAAAATATCCTCTCTCCAACCTCTCTCATACACCCCTAACTAACAAAATGTGACTTTCAGCGATATGATCTCTATTAATTACACTTACAAGTTCAAAGATATCATTGGATATACCTATAAAGTATATATTGTAGGAATTTATTTAAGGTGATGCTAAAACTACGCAGTGGGGTAAGAGGCAGACATCGCTATGCCACAAAGTCCTTCAGCTTCATCAAAATCTCTTTGCATTCTTATGTACCCCTCTTCACCCCATTCTGTACCCCATGAGTTCTTTACTAACCAATACTTGGTCCCATAATCACTCTCGCTGTAACCAACTGCAGTAACACCATGGTCTAGGCTCGTTCCACAAGTTCCCGTAGACACCACTTGAATAGAATTGGAAATCAGAACCACTAGCATCAATGGCAACAAAAACTGGTTGATGAGAAACAGTGGTAAGAAGAGCCTTTTCACTCTTTGCAGGAACATCTTCATACCCAGTTATCCTGGCTGCAATGGTGGCTTTTCTTGGTGTTGCATGTACCATCAACACCGTTGTAGGGGTAAATAGCTTCCGTTCTAGTCCCATGATTTTGTTGGATGAACTGAAAGGCATCGTCCATCAAGCCACCTTCACAACCTTGGTCTTCTCCACTTGTATCACAATCTACCAACTCTTGCTCGGACAAAGAGATCAATTTACCAGTGGTAAGCTGAGTAATTCCTTACGTGGCTGCCACTGCGGAAAAAGCCCAACAACATCCTGTATTTTGATTGCAATTAACAGTAGTTAGAATAACATAAACAATTTAATAAGCTCCAAAAGAAGACTATCCAGTGTTTCTTTAAATTAATAAACTTAGCAAGACGCTTAATTACCACATTGGCCTTGGTCCTTGATAGGAGTTACAGCTCCTTTCTTTCTCCAGTCCATTGAAGCCGGGACTGCTGCTGCAACATTTTCGTATTAGAAAGAAGTCTTCTTTGTGGAACATTCATGCCTCCTGAATCCATTTCTTAAGGCTTTGAATTCTTCATTTGTAAGGTCTGCAATTGATACTCAATTTGTAAGATTTCTTCGCATCGTTATTGGAAGATTCGATAAACACTACGTTTTCTTTAAATATATTGTATCGCTTCTCGTTATATACGAGGCCATAACGAGCAAGCCATTGCTCATATCTCCCACCCATTGATGCATCTTGGAGACTGCAAAAAGTGGCTTCACAAGACCAAGCACCCGTCAAGAGGATCAAGCCGAAACATATAGATAATTTGCACAGCTGGTTGTTAATCAATTCCATTGAAGCTAGTGCGGGTGGCAAAGCAGCTAGGATTTGATAAGGTAAATGAATCAATGAGCAGGTGTACTGAAATACTAGACTGCTCTGCAGTAGTTTAATTATATAGAGAACATATTACATCTTTGTGTCGTGCCCTACAAATTAATCTGCTATTATGATGTTGACTTGCAAGATTTATAGCTCTTTTGATGCCACGGTAAGTCACTTGCTAAACGCCTAAACTATGAGGACTCTAATACCTAGCTATTCAGTGCTATTCTCACAATTTTTGTCCCCACTTATTAAAACAAGAAATAAAGAAAATTGTAAAGTTTAGATATGTGGTGCTACACCTAGCTAGCATGTTTGTTGCACTTCTCAAATTTTGATGCTGGTGTGTTTCTCATGTTTGTTTTTAATACGACTAATTTTTTTGCTTTAGTACTTGGTGGCTATATATATGCAGAAGTTGGATCGTAAGCATGTAAGGCTTGCATATTATTTTCATGTGGTTGCAGGGAGGAGCGCAGGTGGCCTTCTAGCGGCCATGCTTACTACCCCATATGAAAATAATCGTCCCTTGTATGCTGTTGAAGATATCATTCCTTTTTATCTCGAACACTGCCCTACAATCTTCCCCCAATTCAGGTACAGTGATTGTCGACAGAGAGACCACATTGTTGTACTACGTACCTTTCGTATGCATATCATATTCCTTGCATCGTGAGTTCGCACATTATTTGAAACTTTTAAGAGGTCCCAAACAAAAGCAATCTTGACGATGAGAGAGCTGTTGGACAAGGAATGTCGTATGCATACGAAAGGTACATAGTACGACAATGCGGTCTCCTTGTCAACAAGTAACTGTACCTAGTAACTGTACGACAATGGTTTCTCAGACTCTCTCTCTCTCTCTCTCTCTCCTTTGTGTTGCTACAGAAGTGAATGTTTAATGTGATAATGTTGACAAACTGAGTAAAATCTTATATGCTTTATTTGTTTTTGTTTTTTTCAAAACTCCATTGCTAGAAGTTTAATTTGTGCGTGTAAGTTTTCGAATTCCACTAGTCTCTCCTGCATCAAATTTCATTGTCCTGCTTCATGTAGTCAATGATCATAAACCACCAGAAGAGAAGGACACTGCAGCAATTGGAAAACCAGAGAATCCCAGTAGAAGTAGCACAAAAAAAAATCACAAAATTTCTCTGAGCCAAGCTATATACATTCATAACCACATGAAATAGAAAACTCGCTATCACCAGTCAAATCATTATAGATATCCATTTATGTTCTAAAATATCATCAGTCCCCCCACTTATCATATCCTTCATCCAATTATTCTTCCAAAATATCATCTTAAAGGCATAATAGAAATGGAAGTGAAGCTATTTTAAAGGCATAATAGACAGCTTGCCTCAGTTGCTGTAATATTACTATATTAAGACCATTGAAAGTACACAGATATTTCGATAAAAACTTGAATTATATGTTTGTACACTTTTGTGGTTACAGACTTGACATGATTGATTTGAATTTATTCATATTACAAACAAAAAAGTAATACAACAACAAACAACCTAGCTGGAATACCGAAATCCGGCAGGGAAGGATGCTTTCATTGTACAATGGCAGAGTTTGCATGGTAATCTGAGCTCGGTTTGAAGCAACATACACCAGATGCGTAGCCCAAAAAAGAGTTAACCAGCTTCACCTTGGTATGACCCTCTTTTGATGATTGTGGCTGCGCTACGAATGGATGAGACAAGAGACTTTCCGCTGTTATTCTTTCCCTGCTGTTCATGGCAAGGCAACTCTTGAGAAAATCCATGGCCACATCTGAGATTCCAGTCGGAATTTTGCAGGTACGTAGATGATCAAACATCAACACGTCAGGGAGATTGTTTGGATTGTAACCAGGCTTCAAATCCCAGGGCGACATGCCGGTTAGCATCTCAAACACAATACAACCTAGAGACCAAATATCAGAGGACTGATCTTGTTTGTTATTAATAAAAGCCTCTGGGGACAGATACCTAGGCGTGCCTCTCCATCGACTGTAATTCACCTTGGTTTTCTTAGCGAGTCCAAAATCTGCAATCTTGGCTACAAAACTAGTACCACCAGAACTAGTTGTTGTGGTAGGCACAAGCAAAATGTTGTCCGGCTTCAAATCGCAGTGAACATAGTCACACTTGTGAATGTGTTGAATCCCTTCAAGAATTAACCTTGTGTATCTTCTAACATCATATTCGGGTAATTTATGACCTTTGGATTTATGTATGAGACCATCTAGGGTTCCTCCGGAAGCAAATTCTAACAACAAGTTGTAGACCATGTCACCCTTGTCTGTGGCCGTGGTCTCTTCACCCAAGCGCTCGATAATGAAAGGACAACCCTTGATCTCAAGGAGAATGTCTGACTCATGTTTAATGGACTCAGAAGCAGAGACCTTTGCTGATTTCACCGCCATCATTTCTCGCAAATTGATCCTATGGCGGCTATGCTCATCCTTTGTTGGTTTCCTGGGAGTAGCAAGAAAAACAGAACCATAGCTTCCTTTTCCAATCAACTTCCCTCTCAACCACTGCACTCCATGACTGCACATGCTGTGCTTTTCTCCGTCTAATTTTGCTTCTACCTTTCTTTTCATTATTCTTCTTCACTCAGTAGTTCTTTGTTTTCTCCACAAGGAAATAAGCTAGTCTTTCTGACAGAATTAGCGGCTACTTGATTGTGCTCTGTAATGCTTTATAGTTTACTCTAGGGCATTGGAAGATGCATCGAATGTGTGGTTTAGGGTATAAAGGCGGTCAGGTTTAATTGATGCTTATCAGGTTTTCATTTGAGACGTAAAGACCAAGCTACTAGCCAACCAATAACATAATTTCCAGATTAGTTTATCATTTTTTCTTTCTTATCTTTTGTTCAATTTTGGAAACTTCATTTACCTATAACTTAGGAAAGAGTAAGGACTTGTCGCTTGGAAAGATCCTAATCTTGACCAAACAAATTTGTACATTTTAAGTTGGAGATGGCGATAATATGGTAATTATCTACAAAACCAATTTTTCATATTTCAATATATCTCGCAAGATTTGGATTTCATGTATTTTCAATGCTAGGATTTATTTTCTTCAAAACCTAGGTTTCTTCTCCATTTTATAGAAAATTTGGCATAAGTCCAATTCTTATGAGAGATGCTGGGTGAAATCCATGTAGAAGTTGTTATTGACCTAAGTCCTTTGACTTTTACGCCACATAAGATTACATGCCTTTTATTTATTTATTGATGTTTACACTTTATTTTACTAATTTATTAATTATTTTGTTGTTCCAATTATGCCCCTAAAACATAAATAAGGTAAATTATGGATTTGTAAAACCGGTAAGTTATTGATTTGTAGGAAATTAATTATTAGATTTGATTTGAATTTAAGTGCAACCCACCCCTAGTTCAGGTAATTAAACCTATAAAGCCAGCTCTTGTGCACATAGTTATACCCATAAATTGCCTCTAGTTCAAGTAATTGAACTCATATAATACCTTGGTATGGATTTTTAAACTCATAATTAAAGTAAAAAAGTACCTATCTAAAAGGTTATAGAAAAAGGAAAAAAAGGAACTCATACATCTGCAACAGGTATACTCACACTTGAGCATATTGAGATAAAACTCCATAAAAACTGCTTCGGAAAACCCAAGAAAAAAACTATCACCTGGAAGGCTCAAGAAAAATGTTCAAGAAAACTCAAGAAAAAAACTATTGCCTGTAATGTAGGTACAGATATATAAAAGGAAACACATATACACACACACACATATAAGGAAATGCTGAATTTTAGGAAAGTGTTTTCATATAATTCCATTTATGATAGTGTCATATACTGTAAATTCCTTAAAAATTATGGACATTCTAATTGCTTACTTGGTGAGAGTTGACTAAAATTGAAAAGGGAGATCCATTACATCTTGATGAAAATGGACATATATCTAAGAAGCCCCTCTTTTTAAAGCAGAGTTATATATTAAGCATTTTTTGCTATATAATGATTATAAGAAAATGACAAATTAATTTAGACATAGTTGGATAACTGAACAAAAAGAAACTTAAGATGTTTTTTCATTCACATAAATGTATACCTTAATGTATTTCAGATACCAATCTCTATCAAGTATCACACTTACAAGTTGATACATATCATTCGATATACCTATAAGGTATATGTTGTAGGAATTGATTTAAGGCGATGCTGAAATTTTGCAGTGGGGTAAGACGCAGACATCGCTATGCCACAATGTCCTTCGGCTGCATCAACATCTCTTTGCATTCTTGTGTACCACTCTTCACCCCATTCTGTACCCCATGAGTTCTTCACTAACCAATACTTGGTCCCATCATTACTCACGCCGTAACCAACCGCAGCAATACCATGATCTGGTCTTGTTCCACAAGCTCCAGTAAAAACACCACTTAAAGAGAATTGAAAGTCGGAACCACTAGCATCAATGGCAACGGAAACAGGCTGATGAGCAACAGAGCTAAGAAGCGGCTTCACAAGAGCAAGCCCCAACATGAGGATGAAGCCCAAACAAATACCTAACTTGCACAGCAGGTTTTTAATCAAGTCCTAAACTATGAGGTACTGGTTTGTTTGTTTTGTTCTACCATTCCAAAATGGTAGTTTAGTCTATATTGTTGTTAATTTTATGTTCAATGGAATTGAATTTAATCTGTACGGTATCAATTGTAGATATTTTATTTTATTTTTTGGTCAAGTTTGAATCAGATATTTTATCCCGATATATTAGTTTTATTTATTTATTTATAATGATTCTGTTAATAGTTAGTTGATTCACTGTTCTCACAACTTTTGTCTCCAAGAGAAGAGTTCCATTTTAGGCTATGGCATACTGGACACAACCTTCACTAAAAGACTATTTTTCACGTTGAAAAAATGAAGAAGAAAATTGTTAAGCTTGAATTAGATCCTCATTTGCTAGTCCTTCAACTTGTTAGAGTTTGTATAGGAAAGCACTTTTACTTTGTTCCGCATTGGAAGAGAGTAGCTTCCACACATGGGTTACAAGCCCAACTCACTATAGAATTCTTGCTCACTTGAAACACTAAGTAGGAGGTGGGCCTAATGGAATGGAAATTGGCCTCACCTTTGGAATGGGCTTTGAATATATAAACCACATATGTATAATTGGTTTGGATCAGGTGAGAACGCTTATGTGCGAACGTTACGTGTGAACACCGTTGGATCTAATCTAACGGCTGCATTAAAAGCAATTGTAAGTGTAAGTGTTGTATTAGAACGACGCCTTCTTCTCTCTCCTCATGCCAAAACGTCGAGTCGGAAACAGACGTCCCCTCCAAAACAGACGTCTCCTCCAATCCAGCTGTTCGTTTTGTTCAAGATGGCCAATTTTTTTATCAACTTTGATTGAGCAAGACCAATAACACTGAAGAGAGAGAGCCCATGTTATTCCTTATTCGATTCCAGGAAGAACACATAAGTATTAGCCCTCATTTTTCTGGGTTTCTCATTCAGGCGAAAGAAAGTGTTCGTGTATTTTATATTATCATCTTTGTGGTCGGCACATTCATCAATCCTTGACCAACGTCTTGAGTTGGAAACTGGTGACCGTGACCGTTGTGCTGTTCTCCTGGTTTTGAAATCGTTGAGCACGGTCAAAACAGGGGTTGAGGAAGAAGAAAAGTGTTTGGGGTTGACGTCCAGATCTAAAAGGGCGACATTGTCATATTTGTAGAAATTTTGAAGTTGGAAATGACTCACGAGGTAAGTGCTATACTGTATTTGTCAAGTTTATTATTGGGTATAAGCATGAGTTACATTAGTTTGTATGTAGGTCTTTAATATTTCACCAGAGAATCATTTTCGTATCATATGTTAGTTAACGTATATATTTTAAAGATCTTTATACTGTATTTGTCAAGTTTATTATTGGGCATAAGCATCAGTTACATAAGTTTGTATGTTGGTCTTGAATATTTCACCAGAGAGTCATTTTCATATCATATGTTAGTTAATATATATATTTTGAAGCTCTTTACCTATATTTGTCAAGTTTATTATTGGGCATAAGCATGAGTTACATTAGTTCGTATGTAAGTCTTTAATATTTCACCAGGGAATTATTTTCATATCATATGTTAGTTAATATATATATATTTTAAAGCTCTTTGAAAGCATGAGCCAATGTTGGTATAATGGTGGTGAATTCAGGGTTAAATTGCAAGAACTGTGCAATGGAGTGTGAAGGACAGGTGACACCGGAAGTAAGGTCGGAGTTGAAACCAAAATTAGGACTTGAATTTGATTGCTGTGACGATGTGTTCAATTTCTATAATATGTATGTTGCGGAAACCGGATTCGGCATTCGGTGTTCTACAACGAGGACGTGCACAATGACAGGAGAGGTAACAAGGAATGAATATGTATGTTGTAAATAGGGGTATGCGTTGACAAGCACTGTTAGTCATAAGAGAAGACGGCGAGGTTGTACTCGAACTGGTTGCAAGGCTAAACTTGCGATATTGAAGATGAAAGACAAGAATAAGTACATTGTTGTAGGATTCAATGAGGGACACAACCATGACATGACCACAGTTGATAAAGTCCATCTATTAAGATATCACCGTAACTTAACAGAGTCTACAAAGGCCTATAGTGCAGATATGAGCAAAGTTAATATTCTGGTACATAAACAGTTAAGCCTTCTTGAGGTGCAAGTAGGGGGATTGGAAAATGTTGGGTTTGTTAAGAGAGATGTCTATAATTATCTAAGGGACGTGCGTGGAAAAGTGATTGGCCATGATGTAGAGCTGCTTAAGGAGCATTTTATGGCTATGCAAGAAAAGAATGAATCCTTTTATTTCAAGATGGAGGTTGATTCGGAAGGAAGGATGGGTAATGTTTTCTAGTCAGATGCAAGGTCAAGATGAGCTTATTGGTTTTTTGGAGATGTGGTGGTATTTGATACGACGTTCAACACGAACCGTTATGAGATGGTCTTTGCGCCTTTGTTAGGCGTTAATAACCATCGGCAGACAGTGTTGTTTGGTTGTGCATTCCTAACTAGTGAAACCACGGATTCATTTGTATGGTTGTTAGAGGAATTCAAGATAGCCATTCCGGGTGAGCCACCCAAAATGATCATCACTGATCAAGATGCAGCCATGTCAAAGGCAATTGTTGTAACTCCCCCGACAACATTCCATAGATATTGCATATGGCATATCTTGAATAAGATTACAGAGAAACCCGACATTGGAGAATTTTTTCGGAAATGAAGAAATGCATATGGGGTATGGACAAGAAAGAAGAATTTGATGCGAAATTAGAGGAAATCATCACAAACAATGGGCTGCAAGACCATGCGTGGCTGAGCTCAATTCATGCTATGCGGGAGAATTGGGTTCCATCATATGTAAAACATGTGTTTTCGGCTGGGATGTCAAGTAGTCAATGGGCCGAAAGCTGTCATTCATTTTTCAAACAATATATTAACCGGAAAAATACATTGATGGAATTCATTGTACGTTTTGAGAGAGCTCTTGCTTCATAAAGACACAAGGAGTTAATGGTTGATCATGTATATTACAATGAAAAACCTCCACTGCCATTTCAAACACCAATGCAACATCAAATGGGACGCATTTACACTCGGGAAATTCTGGAAATGTTTGAAAGGAAGACTTCAGTAGTCTTTTATGCTTGTTCGAACTTATAGACGAAGATGAGACGCACTGCAGATACAAAGTGAGTGAGCGGGTAAATCCGGGAGCTTGTGCATGATAAAGATGTCGATAAAGCTTATTGCAGCTGCAAATGTTTTGAATTTTGGGGTATTCTGTGCCGACACATCCTAGCATTCTTAAGAATGAAGCAGGTTGAGCACTTGCCAGACAAGTACATATTGAAACAATGGCTTCAAAGTGCGAAAAGCGGTGTAATATACGATAAGAATCACAAAGAAGTTAATGATTGCGTTGATGGTTTGCTTTTGGTTAAGAGATCGAAAGTTTGCAAAGTTGCAAGTGAGTTGATTGATTCGGCTTTGTTGTGTGATGAAGGTTTTGAGTTGCTGGAAAAATCTTTTGAAGACATTCGTGGGAAGCTTACAACGTTGGTGTCATCAAGAGCTCATGTCGAAGAACCCAATGGAGATGTTGGAACTAGTTATCCCCAACTCAGAATCAAAGATCCACATCGAGTAAAAGTAAAAGGGCGTGGGAAAAGAGTTAAAGGAGAAAAAGAGAATGCAGTGCAACGACATAAACGTCGGTGCACTGAATGTAGGAAGACTGATCATGATAGATGGAGTTGTCCAAAACTTGCGAGCCCGTAAGTGAATATGTGTTATATTGTGCTTTGAAATTTATGTTGTTGATGTTTATTATTATTTTTTTTCCGATGTGGCAGCTCTTCATCTTCCGACACAGAACTTTGTGGTCCAGTTGGTGAGAATTTGCAGCCCACTCAGAGCATGCAGGACAGTGAACCTACAATGACAAAGTCATTTATGCAAGAGTTTGATTTCATGTATGGTCCCGTAGTTTGAGCACTTATTGATACTTATTTACATGTTTTTGAAAGTATCTAGAAGCTTTAGTGAATCTTAGGTAAATGCCTCATATCTATTGATACTGAACTATGGTTTATTATTAAACACATAACTATCTGGAAGAGTTTGATTTCATTTATGGTCCTGGAGTTTTAACATTTATTGATACCGATTTACATATTTTTGGTCGTGAACAGCACCATGCTTTCAATGCGTAACTCGAAGTTTCAGATCCATCTTTTGTTGAAGGTTGATGTCCCGGATGTCCTCTGGGGTTTGGGATTTTCAAAACCTGAAGCCCTTGTTTGAAGGAGAACGAATTTGGGGGAATCATGCAAGGGGTTTTCTACACAAATTTGCAATGAATTTGAAAAGATCGAAGGGAATCTTGAAACCATGACTATGTGTCAGTAAGAGAATCTTGAAACCATGACTATGTGTCAGTAAGAGAATCTTGAAACAATCACTATGTCTCTGTAAAGTCTCAACCAACGAATATCTATGTAGAGAATCTTGAAACAAATTGTCTCCCCACCGACAATGAATTAAACAAAAAATTGTGAGCACTGTTACGAAATGAACGCTTCTAATTAGGAAGTTAGTGATCGAACTGTGATTGAACTCTAGGTTTGATAGCAGTGTAAAACGAAATAATAAGCTACACATAAGCATGATCGGGCATGAACATTAAAACAGCAAGCATGATCGGGCATTCACATTTAAACACTAACCCAGATCGGGCATTCACATTTAAAGACTAACCCAGATCAGGCATACACATTTAAACACTAACCCAGATCGGGCATTAACAAAAACAAACAACTACTAAGGGATTGCGTACGGATTGATATAGCTATCACCAGTCATTATCGCTGCCTTTTGCTGGTTGGTGGCCTTGCTCTGCTGGGTGTGCATCGCTGGAGATGATTTCCTGTGCAACAGACGGGGTTATGGCATCCCAGTCAATATCTTTGTGGACATCTACAGCGAACCGTCGGAATTTCTCAAAACCTTGGTTGAAAGCCACAGACATTGCCTAGCCTTGGTTGTCGCCCTATTTGTGGATGCTCAAAGATTTGTACGTAGCTTCCTCCTCTGTCATATGCAAATCCTCTATTGTGTGTTTTCTTCTTTGGACACGAATTCTCTGCTTCTCTTTTCGGTAACGGGCTTTGTTAACTTGCCGAGTTAAATAAGGCAACTTCTGCTCAGCTCCGACACACTTTTGAGTCCAACAATGGACCAAGGAAGAGTTGTGTTCCAGTTTGTTCTTCATATCATTTATTTCCACAGCGGGATCATCAGAGTCCCCCTCGCTTGCGGAGGAGGTTGGAAGAGGCAGCGGTGGTGGTGGGGACCTTGGATAATCGGGGGCATATTCCCATGAGCCACCGGAGTTCCCCTAATTCACTCTGCCACTTGACCTGGCGGACATGTTGACAAAATCGTCAAATTGGGGGATTCGGCAGAAGGTTTGTATGCAAACAAGACGACTGGAAAGAAGAAAAGAGAGATGAAAGGCATGAGTAGCCCATAGGCATAAAACAACGTTTATATATTATGTAAGGAAGTTTTCCATTTTGTTTTTTCTCCTTTTGTCCCATCACTTTAATATATATATATATATTTTAAAGTAATCAGAGTATTTGATTTAGTTAATCATAGGAGCCTCACATGATTAGTAAAAATGTTAGCACACACTTGAATTTTGATTTATCAAGTTTGAATGAGTTCGTAGCAATTTGCGAAATTTTCTCCCCATTTTTGTATATTTAGTTATGAATTTTGTAAGAAAATAGCAATATTCATTTAAATTCACACGGAAAGGAAGGATGTGGCAATAGCCACTGGCATACACGTGTGCACCTACTGAAGGGGGATGCGGTCAGCTGTCACCATGTGTGTTATTTCTTTATGTTTTAAATTTTGTAATGCAAAATGATTTTTAAAATGGTAATAAATAGGAGAAAAATAGAAAAATAGCCCGGAAAATTGCTTCCAACTCCTTGTGCCGTTACAAAACTGGGGGAAGCTATAAATCATCCAAAGTGATTATGAAAACTTAATTTTGTACTTAATTTCATATAATGTGACAATACAGAGTGTACACTCCATCTTTGGAATATGGTGATAACTTGCTTTCCTTTGAATTGTAACATTATAATTTTGCAAAAATTAGAAGTGTACTTCCATAATGTTCATTATCTAATTTATAAGAACACAAGTATCAGTTTCATTTGCTTCATATATAATTGTTCGGAAAAATATTTCTATATTTTCTCCTTTCAATTGACAGACACAATATGGTTCTTGTTATTTCATTGCTAAAATTATATATTTGAAACCAATAAGCAAACCTCTAAAATGCCAAGTTACGAACATAATTAGCTACCATATAAGTGATCAAATAAATGCTCAAACCTCAAAACTCACCCAATTACTTAAAAAAGGGGGAAACAAAAGCAGACTTCCAAATAAATTTATTTAGCACTGTGTTTACTAATATATTTTTCTGCATAGCTGCATTATTTTATTCAAATGACCCAAAATGGAAACACACAAGAGCATTTACCTCATATATAAATATGCTATGAACATATAGAGTATCGACTAAGTTTTATATTTTATATTAGTAGATTATATTGTATACAAATCTTAAGCCACAATACTTATTTATTTAGTTAACTTCCAACATATATATAAACATTGTTATATTGTCTTCTAAGTATGTATTCTATATATTCATTATGTTGTCTTACTGCTCTTTTTTCTTTTCAACATAGTAGTTATATAATTGGTTTTTTCTTCCCTAATGGGGCGGGCCATGGAAATGGCATACCCACCCCCGATTCAACCCATTGCCATCCCTAAACGAACGAGATAAAGCCAACCCTCCATTACTTGATTACTATGCGACATAAATACCTGTATTATCAACAAATTCACCTCTATTGTTTCTATTCCATGCCTTTTAGGCGTTATAAACTAACACAAAGAAATATGTGATCATAAAATAATATAAACAAACTTCATAAAAGCACAACAATTTATGTAGACAGAAGTACGCTTAAAAAACTGAAAATAGTGTCCCCATTTGCTTACAGTTGTCCTTCACATCTTACAATTGCATACATTACCTAAGAACTATGAACACTTCAAACCACAATTTTTACACCTTTAGGAGCCCACACAACATGCCAAAAAAACGTACTCAAAATGAACCACACATTTGTTCCTAACAAAATACTGACAACCCCCAAAATGAACTTCATCCAGGGACGGTTTACTCCATGGCGATCCCGTCCCAGTTGTAGCTTGGGACAACACATGTTGCAAACTCACAGAACAAGTCAAACCCTTTGCATGCTTCTGCTTCCGTCATCTGCACAGACTCATTCGAAGTACTGAACCTTCGAACACCTTTTCCTTTTGCAAGCCAAACCCTCACCTTCATTCTTTGGACTGATCAAAGGTGGAATTTCGCTTTCTTTTTCTCCTTCCCCAATGTTTCTTCATACCATCTTAGACGTATCTTCAAGCGTTTGATTTCCACGATCAATGCATCATACCTCATCTTGCCGATCCGAGCTACATCATCGTGGTCCTCAGATGAAAAGTTTATGGATTTCGCAGCTCCATCAGCAACATCTTCAACTTTATTATTCCTCTGTGACAAAGGTTCTGCATTTTTTGCTGGAGTTGTTATAAGTATGGGGGGGAATTTTTGTAGGGGAACCCATTCTAAGTTTAGGCTTGTTTGGAGCGAGTGGAGGTGCAATGGGAGGTAAAATACACTTACATTGGTATTTATAGAGCAGTTCCCATTTTCATTTTACCCGCCAAAATGCCAAGGTTGACTTTGAGTGGGGAGCTGCAACTTTAGTTACCTTGAGAACTGGTGATGTCATATTTGCATTATTTGTATCATATACGATATTTTAATATTCTTTACCTTTCGTATTTAGTATCATATTTGCGCAGATGAAACTGTTGAGTTGGTCATGTTCAAATGTAAGTTACCTTCACAACTTGTCATGTGATATTTGCATTATAAGTACCTAAAGCACATTTTTTTGTTTTTTTTTACTGGTGATATGAGTTCATATTTAGTATCATATTTCAGAAGATGAAATTTTTCACATGCTCATGTTCAATTCAGATTACCTTCATAACTGGTGATGTCATAAAACACTGTTGTAATTTTCTTTACTGTTAATGGTGTGTTCATATTTAGTATCATATTTTAGAAGATGAAATTGTTTACTTGCTCATGTTAAATTCAAATTACCTTCATAACTGGTGATGTCATAAACACTTCTTTCATTTTTTGTACTGTTAATTGTGCGTTGATATGATATTTTGTTTCATACTTGGCTGTTAAATTATTCACATGCAACGAATTTTACCTCCATAAGTAGCAATGTGGTATTTGCATAACCATTATCATAAAAAGTATATTTAATTTTTTGACTGCTGACGTTGATTAGTAGTATCATAAATGCGAACACGCACGAGGTGTACCTAGGCATGGAGCCGCGAGAAGACTAATTTACCGCCAAAACCTGGATCATCGAGGTGTGTCAACTGTCCTTTTAGTCACACCGATTGGGAAACGAAGCCAATAATACATTATCTAAACCCAATGTTGTCTTCGTCCATAGTTTAGGTGACGACGGTTCGTTCCATTATATACTTTTCTTCCTCATTTGTCCAGACACACCGTTCATTATTACTCCACATACCTTTTGCACTCCCTCTTCTCCAACAACCCAGATGGACATCCCAGCCGAAGTATGGTTTAAGGTGCTGCTTTTGGTTGCAAAGCACTCCACTAAAGATCTGTACAGCATAGCGGAGACATGCAAGTTATTTAAAGAAATGCTGAATGATCCTAAGGTTTGGCAAACCGTGTCTGTAGAGAAGTACCAGTGGCATCTTGAATGGTACGGGTTTGATTAAGAGAAACTTGTTGAGTTCTCGCAAAAGTGCAAGGAACACAACAATCCAGAAATCATTTACAGAGAAGCTGTAACTCAATTCTTCATATTCAAAGATGATGAGGTTGTCAACAACTTCCGAGTGGCAGCTAAGGCAGGGCATATGGAATCCTCCTACATTGTTGGCTTGCTAGGGCTGGTGAACCCTACGGAGGGCGAAGAGGATGCGATGGAATGGTTGTACCATCTAACCAAAACGAAGAAAATTGACATGCAAGCATGCAGGGAATCATTTTTAATCGACTGATGAGGTATACCATTTCCGGCGTGGTGACTCCTCCAACTATTGCAAAGTTTACTGCTGACATAAATTTTATTCTTACCTGCGTTAACTGTGAGGGTGTTAAGAGCATCCACAGTTGGGGGGGGGGTGTATATAGGGGTGTATGTTAAATATACACCTCGAGTCACCGGAATCGTCTCCAATGGGGAGGTGTAAAAGGATGTAAATTTACATCACCACCTTTGAGGTGTAAAATAAAATGTATATTTACATCCAAATTTACATCCCTTGCAGGCGGGACCCACCTGAGAAAAGAGAAGAAAAGTCAGCATAAATGGCTGGGACCCGCAGCTACAGTAATTTCTGGAAAAAATTGGCATAATTATTGAAATGAAAAATTGAAAAAGGACATAATAGGAATTTACAGATTTGACATTCAAGCTCCGATTGAGGTCCATGATACCTTCCCGAAAAGGGAACGACGTCACGAATCATACTCACTACTTTGTAGTGACATAGGGTAGATTTTTGGCTTTTGAGGTCGTTTAGGCTTCCAAAACAGCATTTAAAAGTTGGATTTTAATTTTTAGGTTTTTTGTTTATTTTCTATTCTTTAACCTATTAGGTACTTTACGATCCAACAATTCTTTTTGAATGAAATCATATCTTCTCCGAATTTAAATATTTTTAGGTCCATTTGTTTGAAAAAATAAAATTAACATAATACAAAAAAAATTAATTTTATAAAGTAAACACAAAATACAAATTTAACACAAAAACGAATTAAGACAAACAAAACAATTATACATCTTAGATTTACATCTTTTCCCATTGGAGCAAAAAATGAATTTACACCCCCTGGAAGTGTAAAGGGGATGTAAAAGTGGCTTTACACCCCCGAATTTACACCCCCCGGAAGTGTAAAGGGGATGTAAAAGTGGTTTTACACCCCCGAATTTACACCCTCCCACTGTGGATGCTCTAACTGTGAGGGTAATCGGGAGTGTTATTTCAAATTCCAATGGGACTGGGAGGGCGACTACTCTGACACAGTATTTACCTGGAACTACTGTGAACCCTGCAAATGGAAGAGGGAGCTGTGCTGCTTCGAGCTCAAACTCCGTAGGGAGACCTGTTGGATTTAATAAATTAAATATCCATGGTATGATATGGGTATTAAAGTGTGTTTTGGGTTTTGTTTGTTTTTATTTACAGGGGAAGTTTACCTTCTGTTTAATGTTTTTAATTCAATGTCTGTTTATGGTAATGTTGTAGACATTTGTGGTTTTAAGTCCTGTTTATCGTTTGAAGAAGGTCTGTTTTTGTAATCAGTGCACTTTTAAGATCCAATTTCAGTACAGGTTTGTAGACGTCTGTGTTCCATAGACCTTTGTAGCTTGCGTACATATGTTTTGGATGGTTTTGGGTCCTACGGTTTGACTATGTGTTCTGAAATGGGGAATTGTTGGTTCCTATTCCTGAAGCAGTCATTCGTTGAAGATGACAGACACCAAAATGCCAGGGAGGTTGCGTGTTGTCAACGCATGAGGGATTATCCTTTCAGTCAGACCGGGTCTAAGCCATCCTTGATCTTCTAAGATACTCGGGTGATTCTTTAATTACGTTTTCACTTTCCCAACATTTCCTGATTTGTCCTGCATTTGAAATATATTTCAAAGATAAAAAATAGTTTAAAAAAGAAATCTGAAATTCTATTTGCAATAACATAATGATTTAAATATCGAATTTAAGGTGGGAATAAGTGTTGGGTTTTTCCCCTTCACATTCGGAATTTGTCATGCAATGTTTACGATTGTTGCAACAACAACAAAAATACAAAATTCCTTAAGAAGTATAACTCAAAAACTCCTTGAGAAGTGATTTAAATAGCGTATTTAACCAAAAACTCCTTGAGCAGTATAAGTCAAAACTCCTGACGGAGTATTCATCCCGATACATACTTAGGAAATTTCCCCCTTTTTCTGAATTTTCCTGTATTTTTTATGATTTTATGAAAGAAAAAAAAAGGAATAAAATACACACGGAATGCCAAGTAGCAGAGCCGGAGTGGGGAGCAGCAGACCTCAGCGACACGCGGCGCATTCCCATGCCGCCACACGCCCCATTTCAAATTTTTTATTCATTTCCAAATAAATATTCAATTAAAAATCGAATTGAAGGGGGAAAAATTCCAGAAAAAATCCTCCACACTCGTGACGACATTTCCTTCCATGAAATATCCTGTAAAAGGCCGCGTCATATAAATATCCAAATGGAATTAATGTGATCGAACAAATAAGACTATAGGGTTTGAAAAGTGTACTAGTGTTTTCATTTGCATCATCCAACACTAGGGTTTGTTCCCTAATTTTATTTTTCCCTCACACCAAAATCCGTTATTCTAGTTTCAGTACGAAGTATTCATCCCGATACATACTTAGGAATTTCCCCCCCTTTTTTCTGAATTTTCCCGTATTTTTTACGATTTTCTGAAGAAAAAAAAAGGAATAAAATACACACGGAATGCCAAGTGGCAGAGCCGGAGTGGGGAGCAGCAAACCTCAGCGACACGCGACGCATTCCCATGCCACCACACGCCCCTTTTCAAATTTTTTATTCATTTCCAAATAAATATTCATTTAAAAATCGAATTGAAGGGGGAAAAATTCTAGAAAAAATCATCTGCACTCGTGACGACATTTCCTTCCATGAAATATTCGGAAAAAGGCCACGTCATATAAATATCCATACGGAATTAATGTGATCGAACAAATAAGGAGTATAGGGTTTGAAAAGTGTACTAGTGTTTTCATTTGCATCATCCAACACTAGGGTTTGTTCCCTAATTTTATTTTTCCCTCACACCAAAATCTGTTATTCTAGTTTCAGTACGAAGTATTCATCCCGATACATACTTAGGAATTTCCCCCCCTTTTTTCTGAATTTTCCCGTATTTTTTATGATTTTTTGAAGAAAAAAAAAGGAATAAAATACACACGAAATGCCAAGTGGCGGAGCCAGAGTGGGAAGCAGCAGACCTCAGCAACACACGGCGCATTCCCATGCCGCCACATGTCCCTTTTCAAATTTTTTATTCATTTCCAAATAAATATTCATTTAAAAATCAAATTGAAGGGGGAAAAGTTCCAGAAAAAATCCTCCGCACTTGTGACAACATTTCCTTCCATGAAATATCCGGAAAAAGGCTGTGTCATATAAATATCCATACGGAATTAATGTGATTGGACAAATAAGAGTCTAGGGTTTGAAAAGTGTACTATTATTTTCATTTGCATCATCCAACACTAGGGTTTGTTCCCTAATTTTATTTTTCCCTCATGCCAAAATCCGTTATTGTACTTTCAGTACCAAGTATTCATCCCGATACATACTTAGGAATTTTCCCCCCTTTTTTCTGAATTTTCCTGTATTTTTTTGAAAAAAAAAGAATAAAATACACACGGAATGCCAAGTGGCGGAGCTGGAGTGGGGAGCTGCAGACCTCAGCGACACACGACGCATTCCCATCCCGCCACACACCCCTTTTCCTTTTAATTTTTGTCTTGCTTATATTTTCATTTGATAAACGCCTTTAAGGCTACGGTTTAGGGTAAAAAAATTATTAAAAATTCCCCACAGCAATGCTTTTTATTTTCCCGCTCATGTATTAGGGTTAAAATATAAAAAAAATTTCAACTTTGGAATTTCCCGCTCACGGATTGTCGGGACCAAAAAGGGCGAATTCAAACTTCAAACTCCATATATGTTTCGACCAAATAATAAAATCCAATTCCTTTTCAGAATCGAAGGAAAATAATTTGGGTGTTTTGACCAAATATTTGGATGGGTATAATTCTTCTGTTTTCTTCATTTTCAACTATGGGCAAAGCGTTGTCGATTTCTTCATCAAACATTGAAGCAAAGAGGTGTCGGCACTGCAATGCTGAGATGGTGAAGCTAATTTCCAAATCCGAAAGGAATCTGGGCAGACCATATTGGAAGTGCTTCACAACATATGTAAGTATAATCTTCCCAAACCTCGTACGTAAAACCGAATAAGCTGTATATATTAAACACTAATCCCAAACTGAAACTGCTCCAGATAAAAGAATATGGTCTGACATTGTAATCCCAGACTGAAAAATGTAGTTTTGTTTTGTTTTTTTGTTTTTTTTTAATAGGGAGCTACAAGGTGTAGTGACTATGAATGGGTGATAGCAGCCAACACCCCAAATGAATCTGACACTCAAAACCAGGTGGATGTGAAGGAACTTAATGCATATGCTGAAGTAATCCGTATACTGAAGGCTATTCATAAAATCCTCCTACTGCTGTTAGTTCTATCATTTCTGAATTTGGCTGTTAAATTGATGAAAAAGTAAGAAATGTTTTGGGTTTAAGTATATGTTTTGTAATTTTGTAATTTGGACAGCTACATATAAGACGTGTTTGGAAATGTAGAAATATAATTACGCCTTTAGCACAATTAGTCAATGACAAACTTCAACATTTCATATGTCTGCATCTTAACTTCACAATCGTGTTTTCCCTAAACAAGATACATTACTATTTATTTGACATTTGAAAAGAATCATGCACCCTTTAGGGTTCGGGTTCAGCATACTATCAACAATATGTGTTGAGGGTTTCATACAGCTTGTATTTGAACAAAATACAAAAAATAATTCTTTAATTTTAAGTGAAAATGGGGAGTTGGATCATAAAGAAGACTTTGTTCCTTAAAAAACAAGAAAACTACCTTTTCAAAACCATACTAAAATAGAAAGGGGAAAGATGCGCTCAAGCATGCGAAGAAAGCTCTTCAAGCTTCCCTTTTATTATTATAGAAAGGTTTGTTTTGTAACTCGTGAATATAAGGTCTGTTACCCAAAAAATTGCCCACCCGGTTAAATTAACTTTGCAAGTTCATATACTGCACTACACCCACCCAGTTAAAAACTCTGTAAATTATAGTATCTCCTAATGAATCACAACTACCAATATTCCGGCAACAACTGTACAGCGAGCTTCAACCGATAGAAGGGCATGGCGTCATGGGAAATCTTGGCCAGGTCTACATTCGAGGTCAGAAACTCGTAGTATTTGAGGATGTACATCCCACAGGGCCCCCTGAAACATAGCGAAGAAGCTGTGATTCATTGTACAACAAATCCATTTCATAAGACAATGTGGTTAGGTGGAATATTACTCACCCGCCTACTTGTTGGGGTGCATCCATGACGCGAATAACTGGCCACTTAGTTTTCAGAAGTAGACCGTCGCCAATATATCCAGATTCCTTTAACAACTGGGGAAGCATTTTCGCCACCGGCTGCACGACCTGTTGGATGGCTTGAGTTCTGCACAGATCTACTTTTGAATCATATGCCCTTATCTCACACTCTTTTAAATCGACAACAAGTAAGATCCAGTGCTTCTGCCTTTGTAGGTTAAAGGGCAAACAAACGCGATTCACAGACGACCATGATTTAGCCAACATAGGCCCTTCGCCCTTGACCATTCCCAGTAGACCCTTGCTGTGCTGCCTGTCCTCCTTTCCCACATACGCCTTCATTTGCTTGTAATCCAAGGCAGCACATTTCTGCATAGTGGCACACGAGTTATGCATCATAACAGATACCTAATTTGAAAATAAACAATGCTTAAAAATAATACAGACCTGAAAAGTGGTGTCCAGTATCGTCCAGTCAGAACCTACCCAGTTGCTAGACCTCTCGTGCCGCTCCCGTAGCAAAAGCAAGGCCATGTCTATGTTCTACATAGAACAGTTGTTTCCATTATTAAATAAATAAATCACTACATAGCATGGGCATTTCGACAAAATCCCAAATCAATCAATGCTTACTGAGTCATCCAACCAACCATTCTTGGTCAGCAATCGAACAAAGAAGTTATGCGAACCTTCCATACCATCTTCTCCACATAACCGCACATGTGAACTATATTTGTGAATCATTATTAGTATCAATTCCATTTCACCATTCACTCAATAACTAATCATAATAAACCATTTACATTTCACTAAGGATGGGCAGTGGGAACTTACTTTTCTTCTTGTCCCCATTCCAAGCAGAATTTCGCAACCTCCAAAAGGGAATCACGAGGAATCGGCTTGAGGGGGTCAACAATTGTGTCCTCCGAAATATTGGGAATCTCCCGACATATCCATGGAGTTTCCCTCACCACTACCCTTCGCCTCTTCATTGCAGAGCCAAGAATCTCATTCTTTCACCGAACCTTCTTTTGCCGGACCCCAACTATAACATCTTCGCCACATTCACCCTCAGCAGTGGACATGTCAATCTTTCGAGGAGGATTCGTAAGAAATTTAACAAGGGTGACACACACCACACCCGGATCATCCCAATTTATATCCGAGGGTGTATATTGCACCTCTTCTTTATCATTTTGTACACACTGCTCTCTCGATTTGGCTACTCCATCATCCTCAGTTTTATCACTCTCCTCTCCAGCATCCTCAGTCTTCTGACTCTCCTCTCCAGCATCCTCATCCTCAGTCTTCGGACTCTCCTCTCCACCATCCTTAGTCTTATTCATCTCCTCTCCAGCATCCCTAGTCTTCCTCGCGTCTGCATGACTGGTACGCTTTTCCAAGCATAAAACTCTCTCCTCTAGCTTACCCTTCTCATGGCAATACTGCAACCTCATTCCTCAAATGCTACACAACAGAGTTTAACTCATCAAGGTCCTTACATACCCGCGGACCTACACTGGGTGCATCACATTCAGGAACATCTGATCCCCAACTCCAATACAGTTGGCTCATCTCCAATTGACTTGGTCGTAAGAGGCGCAGTATAACAGGCTATCAAACACATAGAGTTAACAGGATATACACAATACTAAACAGCTTTCTTCATGAAACGAACTTAGTACTGAAATAAATTATTAACTACACACCTGTTTGCTTTGAAATATATAAGCGTTTAGCTTTCTAAACTCAGGCACTTTATCCATGGATTCCCACCAGCAAATTCGAGGGACTAATGCAAGTTTCTCGATCCACTTACAATATCTAAGGGGGGGAATTCTCAATTCAGCAATTAATTCATACAACCAAATCTACAACAAATAGATTATCAAAGTCAGTACTTAATTACGAACTAAAATTTTACAAACACTAATTTTGAACTACATCATACCTAGACTGCATAGCTCAATCCCTTTATACTCCATCCAGGACTGTTAATTCTTTTAGGCATCTCATCTTCCACGTTTTTCTTCCCTTTTCTCACTGAACTCCGCACTGCTTTTTTTCCCTTTTTCTTTCCTTTTCCCTTCCCATCATTCTCTTCATCACTCTCTTTCTTCCCGGGAGCAAACAACAGAGAATCATGCAAAAACTCAAAAGATATAGATCCCCACGGATAATTGTTGAATTCGTCCATTTTATGAACCAAATGTAAGTACTCCTCGTTTATCTTTACATTTTGGGGTTTACCCATTATAACAAACTCCACAAAATACAGCAGTCCCAATTTGAACGAGTCCTCGCTTCCTTTTTCGGACTTTAGGAATGCATTTTCTAAGTCATTGCAAGTAATGTGACCCCTGTTAGTAAAATGCGCTTTCATAAATTGATTATGAGCATCCCCCCCGAACGTTATGTCAGGCTCTGTTCCACATTTCAGACCACTTATCAAACAAAAATCCTTTACACTGAATTGAGCAACATTGGACCCTATTGCATAACTAAGGCCCAGCATGTCCTTAATACCAAGTCCTCCGACTCGCCGGAGTGCCAGAGCATGCACAATTTGACCACTAAATGCAATTTTATGGAGGCCCAACAGGTGCCCAAAACAGCTCTCTCTAAATCTTTTCATAAGCGACTCACTGAAATGCGCCCCAAAATTACACAAGACTGTATTCGCCACACACAAATTATTCACCCGCGCAACATAGACCTCTGACTCCGGCAAACAAAGTTCAAACCCAGATTCCATTTTTTAACTGCAACAAACACCTTTTGCTTAAGAAACAGAAGTGATACCTACTCACAAAATTATCTACACATCTTCATCACATTAAGATACATAATGAATACCTACAAACACTATTTTCAACACATTCACATACATAATGGATACCTACTAACACTATTTTCAACATATTAAGATGCAACCTGATACATTATTTTCAACTCATTAACATACATAATTAATACCTACAAACACTATTTTCAAATATTCAGATACATAATGGATACCTACTAACACTATTTTTAACATATTAAGATACACAACTGATACACTATTTTCAACTCATTAAGATGCATAATTTTCACCTACAAACACTATTTTCAACACATTCACACACAGAATTGATACCTACCAACACTATTTTCAAAACATTAACATACAAAATTGATACCTACTACAAGATGCATTGATCCTTCTGCATCCCAAATCATCTCATATTCACTGTTAAGATTCAATTTTCTCTTCTGCATTCTACTTCTAATGCTGCTTATTCTTTGTTTTCCAAAACCCATTAAATTCCTAAAATGATGCCATACACTCACACCACTAGATGGGCAAATCAGGATTACAATGACCAACACATGAAGGTTCCTGGAATTCTAAGAAAAGACAACAAGCAAGCACAATGGAACAAAAATAGGAACAACCAACAGCTGTGAATCTACACTTCAACAAATTACCACAATAAATTGAGATAAAAAGACAACCCAACTTTTGAAAAAAGTAAATAATATTTAAACCGCAGAAATACTTCAAAAATTAGTTACCATGCTTCAACAAATTACTAGAAACTAGAAAAAGACGCAAAAAAACAACTGACACCAATTTATATTTTTGCAAACACAACTACTACAAAGACAGACTACTCTTACCCAGAAAATCAATGCCCTAAAATCCTAAACATTATTCAAACATTAAGTGATTTAAACATTAACTGAATGCAATATAACATGCAAACTTTAATATGAATGAAAGAGAGGGAATTCGAGAGAAACGTACTTTCTCAGACGTTCAGATGAGAAATATTAGATGAGGGAGGAAGCGAAAGAGACAGAGTACACCAGGGAGTTTCCGCGACAAGAGAAATACACAAATTTATGTCTGGTATTTTGGTTATTTAGGGTTGATTCATAAACTCATAAATTCATAAATTTATTGACAAGAAAGGCACGACTGGCCACTGTCAGGAAGAAGAAAGGCGTGTTTTTTCGAAGCAGGCGTGACTTGACACTTGGGCTAAGGGGAACTGCAGCCTACCCGTTTTTACTGTAAGCTTGTTTTTTCTCTTTAGCCGTTCAGATAATTTGGATGGCTGGATTTGGTTCTCATATAACGTTCGCACATAAGCGTTCTCACTAGATAATCGCCCTATGTATAATTGTCAAAGATTGGGTCTTTGGGCTATGTTGATTAAATTAATTAATTTTTATTAATTAAAAATTCATTTTTTATTATATAATATCATGATCTAATTAAAATTTGAATTTTGTTTGAACAATTATTACAACTGTTGGACGAAGAAGCATCAGACCTCTATATAACAGACAATTCGTTCAAGCCAGAAGCTATAGAATTTTGGAATCACATGATCACTTCTCCACAAATAATCACTTTATGAGATAAAAGCATATCATTGTTTGCTAGAAATCAAAGTCAAATGCTTAGGCTTTGATTTCTAATAATTTAATCCTAGTGGGCAGTCGCCTATTTATGATAGGCTTTGATTTGTGTATGAATTTGATTTATTGATATCTATAGAATATATTTCGAATTGTTTTTATTCTGTTATTTAGTTAATTTCTGATTGTTCTCCAACACAACTTGAAATAATGTCATGTTGAGCTATATATGAGCTTCTGTTAGTCCTAGACTACAAAACAACTGTTATTTTTTCTTCTTGTTTATTCTAGTCCTTAGATTAGGGATGGACATTGGGTACCAATTGGGCGTTAGGGGTGCCCAATCATATAGATGTTCTCGTTCCCGATTTTCTTTGGTTGGTTCGTCCCTGACGGACCTATGTAGAGACAAATGTGGGCAGCTGCCCACACTTAAATGTTTTCTTCAATCATGTAGGCTATAATAAATAGAACATTTTGACAATATTTTACATGTTCAGCCCAATATTTTGCGTGAATATATAGCCCCCAGTTAGCTCACTATCAAGCCTAGAATATCAGGCCAGTTTAAGAAATGATTTAGAGCATCTCCAAGGGAGATGTCAAATATCAAACATCAAATTTAAATTTGATGGCTGATGTGGCAATTTGACATCTTATACAACTTTACACTTCACTCGATATGTCAAATTAAATTATTATTTTATTACATTTTAGTGTTGATTTATTTTTAGTTAAAAAGAAAAGAAAAGAAAAAATAATAAAATATTCATTTAACATCTTGCTTTTGGGATGTCAAAAATAACATCTCAACCTTCAGGCTTCATTCCACATCAGCTTTGACACATCGGTTGGAGTGATATGAGATGTTATTTATAACTGTTAAATGTCTATGTGGCACGTTTGACATATCGGTTGGAGATGCTCTTAGTTTGTCTTCCATCCCACTTGTATTTGGTGTGATCTTTCATAAAATAATAATATATTTATATAAATATATAATATTACTACATAAATAAATATTATAATATTTATGCCCACACTTTCACTATGGGTGGTGATTTTCCCACTCCCCTTTTGTCCACTTATACTCCCTTTTGTTTTTTTTAATAGTTTTTACTATAATAAAAAAAGGAGTGTAAGTGGAAAAAAAGGGAGTGGGAACATAAATTTTTTAACAAAAGGAGTGTAAATTGATAAAAGAATAGTGGGAAAATCAGCTCCCAATAATTGCTGGGTCTGCCACTAAACTAATATAAACGAGTTTAGGTGCCCATCAGATCGCACCGACAAAGTCAGAAATAGCAAAATAGTCACTACTACAGAAAGTGAAAAAGACGACCAAAAAAGACGACGGTAGAAGAAAAACCGTCGTTGTATTTAAAAAGACGACGGTAACAAAAAACCGTCGTGAATAAGTGACTTAAACAACAAAAAAACGAAGGTACTGTTGAATATTTTTTATAACGACGCACACAAATAAAAAACCATCGTCTTATTAAAAAGGTTTTCTTCATAGTTAAAATTTGACCAAAAAACAACGACAGTAGGTATGACAAGCGTCGTCTGTTAAAAATCAAGTGTCCTTCTTTTGGTAAAGACATGGTTGTTTTGAAAGAACCGTCGTCTATTATATGTAAAGATGACGCTTTTTATACAAACCGTCGTCTATTATTTGTAAAGATGATATTTTTTATAAAAACCGTCATCTATTATATGTAAAGATGACGTTTTTTATAAAAACCATCGTCTATTATATCACTACTACATTTTAGTCTTTGCGCGACGAAAGGGTTTTCGTCGCGCAAAAACGATTTTAGTCGCACATCATTATGCGCGACAGAATATTCGTCGCGCACAATCCGTCGCGCAAAGGTCGTGAAGAAAGGATTTGCGCGACGAACAAATGTCATTCGTCGCGCAGTTTGCGCTACGTATAACATCTTCGTTTCAAAAAACATTTCGGGACGACCTCATTGTCCGTCGCACAAATATTTGCGCGACGAACCAGAGGTCGTCGCAAAAAAAACTGCGCGACGGAATTGTCCGTCGCGCGAACTACATGAACCTTGCGCGACGACATCTTATTCGTCGCGCATACACATCTTGCGCGACGAAATTACTCGTCGCGCAAGATTAAGATATATTTAAATGTTTTTGCGCGACGATTTACGTTTCGTCGCGCAAAAGCAATATATATTATTAAAAAAAATTTATTATTATTTGATTTTTAATTTTGTAAAAAAATAAATGTTGTTTTTTTTTAATTAAAATGAAATTACAATTAAAAAAATTAATCGTAAAGAAAACATCTATTATATAAAATAAAATAAATGTATACAAATTGTAAAATAAATTATAAAAATAACAAACTAATCAAATAATGTTCCGAAATCTAATTGGTCATCTGCCACATGCGGCTCGGAGGTATGCGGCTCGGAGGTATGGGCGTCTGCAGGGGCCGTGGTGTGCTGGGGATGCTCGGGCTGGACGGGCTCGGAGGTCGACGCACCAAAATTCGGGATTGGAATCCCGGACCGCGCGAGCGACTGCAGAATCACCGACATCTGACCCTCAAGCTCGGCAACCCGCGATGTCAAAACAGTCACCTGACTGTTTGCCTGCGACGATGACCGCGGTCGAGGTTCCCTCTGTCGGGCATTCCCCATCCCCCTACAATACGTTCCCGGCCTCCTCCCGAGAGTCTGATCCAACGTCTGCGTCAAAATCTGAAATCCAGCATCATGCGGAGGATCCACAGACTCGATCGGAGTCTCGGGAGGAAGTTGGGAGGCGGACTCTTGAAGAACCAACTGGCTCCTCTCCACCATCGTCGTCTGTTTAACATTACATAAAATATAAATTAAAAAATGCATATAAATTGAAAGTGTAACATAAGAATTAAAAATACATAATACTTACATGAAGGGACTCGGCCAACTCATCCCCAGGTCGAACATAAACGTCACCAAAGACGTCGATCTCTGGGAATTTCGACCCCCCCTTAATTGAACAAGAGAAGAAAAATATTAGTATGAACAAAAGAAATTAATAATAATGACATATTAAAAATTAAATATAAATTATATTATTCTTACCCGACGCCGTGCATCCATCCTATATGAGAAGGGCCTGGAGCCGGAATGGTGAAGAAGAGTCTTCTTCTTCCTATTGCCCTTATTCACTTGGGCTTTATTCTGTTATACAAAAATAAAACGTAAGAATTGAACTATAAATAAATTAAATAATAATGAGATATAAAAAATAAAATAAACATTAAACAAATATTATTAAAAAAATACCACATAATCGGGCGCCTGAAAATGAGCGCAGAGCCACGCCCAA